AATGTGTTCACTGACTGCATATTGGGTGAAAACGACATGAAATGTGTGAATGGTATGGCCACAAAAGACCGATGCTGTGCTAATTGTGTTTAGAGTTTTGAAAATGTGACAAGTGTTTGGACAAATGCTTGTTAGCGACTGAAAAAAACTGTAATACTAAATTTGAATACAGACATCTGATGTTTAAAACTTAAAATCTGAACCACCCAATCAGTCACCCCATATTTCTGTTTTCATCCGAGTCCTGATTAACCCCCCCCCCTTTAAATACTATCCTTAGGCTGCAGTCTTACCTAAGTATCTGCAATCCATGATTCATTTAAGCAGAAACCGATACAGAAAGTATTTCAGACATCATTAGTGTTTATGCACCTTAATGCCAGCTTGATTAATTAATCACACTTGTTTTCACTTTATTCAAATCCTGTTATTGTTAATGTGTTATCTAATAACCCTATCACTTTCATCTCACCCTTACGTGCCACTCCAGTATTGATTATACCACTTTCCTTTCACTCCCTCGTTTCGTCACATTATGGAACATTCCATTTTCCCTCTAATCCCCGGCTCTCATTCTAATCCAGACTAAACCACTTTCGTCCCAACTTCATACTACATTCCACTGTACAATGTACCACTTTCATGTCATCACCCAGGGCCTGTATGGAGCGTACCACCATGGTTTCACCCCCACGCTTTGTTGCCATGAGGCTCATACCACTTTCATTTTAACCCAGGGGCCTCTCTGCTGCCACCTTTTTTGTCTGTAAAAATCATTTTGAACACAGCAATACACAAAGTACACATTCCTAAAACTTGACCCAATTTCTGTGGTTTGAAGTTCATTTGAATTCCTTTTAGGCTTGAAGAGACGAGGCCTGACAAAGGTTCATTTGTCATGCTGCTGCATGGGGAAGAGCCTCCAGTTTTCAAGGAGAGAATGAAAGCTGCAGACTGACCTAAGGCTTATAATCTGAAATAAATGAGTCCTGAAAAACTGTCCCTGGTTTGAAAATGTGCATATAAAAGGGTGGATACTGAGTCTCTAATGGCTCCCAGAGGATGCCTAGAGTGTACTGTTGTAACATTCGTCAGTTTTGCAGGGCTCAGCAACACGGGGCAATCGATACCCATTGACTCTCTGCCTTGGCGCTGACTCGCTGACTCTGAGCCGTTCTGGCTCTCTTCTGTTTTGTCTGCCTTCCTCTCACATAATGGAGTTTACGGACAGATCCGTGTCTCAGCATTGTTCACAGAGCCCTGCACTGCTGCCTCCTCTCCATTAGTCAGTGCAAAGAGGGAAACAGGCTTTATCAGAGCCTCTGCTTTTACAACATTGTGTTTCTTCTTTTTCTTGCTGGTTGCATGGCATCCCATTTCCTTATAAGCTCTAACAGTGTGTGTAGAATATCTAAAACTGCAGTCGACCCTTGATAAAAGTCAGTTCTGGGATTGAAAAAGTCTTTAGATTTATGTTAAATTCTGCGGCTGATGGTGTTGCAGACGCAGTAATCATGGAGTGAAGAGATGCTGCTGAAGCTTGGAATTTCAGAAAGACCTGCATGCCAGAATATGCTGACACACAGTAGAACAACAGAGAAGGAGAACACCTTGGTAACCATTGTGACTAATCGTCTTCCCGGCCTGGAAAAGAACATGCCTGTCTTCTACGTACCTTCCCAAGAACGCCAAGTTCACTGCGTGCCATTTGTTCCAGAAGTGCAGCCTTCTCTAGTCTTGACACGCCTTTTCCTTTCAGAGCATGGAGGAATGAGGAACTCTGGGACCGAAAAACACACTGCCAGTTCGATAAATTATCTGAAAAATCTTGACTTTGACTCAGCAATTGCATGGTTTCCTCTGAGGAAAGCTAAATTCTGGGAGGAGAGGGAGAATTATGCAATAGAATGTTTTACGATGTAGTGTAATTGTGGTCTGAGAATGGCACAGGAACTATGTGTCTCTGCCATTGGTTGGTGAAGGTCATTATTCTCTAAATAAGTCTGGAAATACATCCAGAGGTACTGGAAGCCATAAGAACTCATATAGAGAAGGCCATTACTGCTGTCAGTGTTGCCTAGTTACCGCTAGTTAGAGACTTTGATATTAAGGCAGTGATTCTGGCCGGTACACATGATCACGACTTTAGAGAGCTACAGGTAATCAATACTTTCAGTAATTACCTATTGATCTATATGACATCTATAGTCATTTGTTATTTGGTTGCTTTGTTGGGGAAGTGTTTCGTTACATTTATACATTTAGCACTAAATGTTACTGTTGCTACACAGGGGATGCGTAAAAGCCTGCGAGGCAAACTTTACAGATATAGGAAGTTAATGAAGTGAGAGATCTTGCTTGTTGCTTGCTTGCTTGTTGCTTTAAATAAAGCTTTAAATTGTGGTTGACAGACAGAAAGACAGAGAGTTTACTGATCCCAAAGGAATTTAGAAATGCATCATTTCAGGCGTAAAAGCTTGGGGCAACACAGCCGTCACCAGAGGACCCTCACGCAGGGAGATACCTGGGGGGCTTTCAGAGTAGCAGCTGTCTGATGCTGTTTGGGGAGCCGTTCAGTTTAGGGGGGAGTCAGTACAGGACTGAGTGAAGGTGCCACTGCTACTGAACTGAAGGAGGGAGGGAGGTGTTCTCACCAGCGAGTGAATTCGGCCCCTTTTATGCAACCAAAATGGCAGCTAGGAATCCTCTGGGCAACCATCCATATTAATAACTATGAAACGATAATAATCGCTACCCATTAATCACACGGCACAGGAGTAGCAGATAACACTGTCCTCCCCACAGTAAGATAACCATGAAGTAGTAGGACTCATAAATGCCTTTGATGGTTCACGACATCCTTGGGGGAATGTAGGATGGGAGAGACTGAATGAGGAAGAAGGTAAAAAAAGCAAATAAAAAGGTGTGTCTACAAGGAGGAGTGACTGCGGTCTCTCCCCCCAGCTCCATAAACAGGAGCATTATCAGGAATGTGAAGCTAAACAGCTAACATGTCTTTGGGGGGGGGGGGTCTCTGCCCCCTGTATTGCATAAATCATCAAGCTGCTACTTTCCTTCCTCTGCATTTCTGAAGATGGAACAGCACAGCTGGGTGGATGTTTGTGAGGACTTCAGGCTCGGGGACCTGGGCTCCGTTTGTTTAGCTAGCAGGCGGATTTAACCATCCTAAATATGCATTTCTGTCACTGTCAGAACCTTCAGCGATGATGATGGTGCCTCAAATTCATTAAACATGGATAATATTTAATATGATTGCCCATCTTCTTCAAGTAAACTCTCTGATTTGGAGATAGAAGGCAGATTATTATTTTGTATTTTATGGTGATAATATGAACCATAAATTTGAACCAAAAAATACTGTGATAATAAACATATGAGGCTTAAGCTTTAGGGTCGATCTGTGCGGAGTGTTTTCCTGGTGGCAGCTCCTCCTGGGGAATATTACTAAACAATGGAATTGCTAAGCATGGGTGGGACAGAACGAGATTTCAACAAATAATGTTGCTTTGCAGAATTCCAGTGTTCATAAAATTACCAGACCTTTGTGTTCTTTATAACAATGCATGTGCTTTCAGTCACAGAAGAGTGTAATTGTGAAACCATTTTCTGGCATCTATAGGATTCTGGTATCCATTTAACATTACGTACGTCTAAGAAGACAATGTCATTCAGTGCTAATGTTCTATTATCTATCTATCGGATATTAAAAATACAGACTTTACAAAGATTATTAAAATTCATCAGTGGGACACACTTATTTTGGAAAATATAATATGGAAAACTAAAAGCAATATAATTTACATGGCTTTACATCCACTTGTCCATCTTCAGTAATTGAACGTCAGGAGCTTGTACTGGGAAACACAAGGTATGACCAGAGGATCAGCTCTGTGTGACTCCATCCATAGTCCTGTGTCCTACGTCCAGTACTATGTGTCTGTGGATCGTCTTTATTGTACGTCTATTTTTCTATTAATTTGTCATGTATTACATACTGTTCCTTGTACCAGGGTGTGGCTGAATGTACAAGCATGCTGATGTTCTCATCTCACACAGCCAATAAAACACCTGGCATCTAGAACAGACACACACACACACACACACACACACACATCAAGGGCGTAGGTTTGGTTTCAACATCACTAGGGACCAGTTCAGCCCCAACCCCCCCCCCCTTCCACCCTCCTAAATACACACGGTACTCAGACATTATTGGAAGAGACATGTCTCTACCATCCATACCCAAATCTACGCCCTTCACACACACACACTAAGGGTAGTTCCCAGATGCCAATTCGCCACCCGCATACAGCCAGGGGTGAGATTTAAACTGCTTGGTTCCCTATATCGTACATCATATCAAATTTATTGAACTTAATTGTTCCTTAATAAAATCATGAAAACACACACTTAAGGCTGATCCGCTTGTTTCTTTTAGATGACAGTATAAGTAGTTTTCCAATATAGTCATACCTGTAAACAGGGTTTTGCAGAAAGTGTTTGAGGGACAGGTGCTCAAAGGTTAAAAAAAAAAAAGAGGGGGGGCACTCTATACCTTTAAAGCTCAAGTACAAGTTCACGTTATATAGTTCGAGCAAAACCGGCGGGTGTTCCTCCAGCCCCCCCTGCACGTGCCTGCCTGTAGGGGTAGCAATTAGTGAGAAGCTTGACTGGCAGTGTACAGTGGACTGGCAGTGACTTGCACTTTATGATACGTAATTTATAACAAGCGAAGCCTAATATATGGACTCGGGGTGTGATGACCACAGAGCTTTCAGGATTCTTAAGTTCATTTAAGTACTTTTTGGTGTTATTTTTCCCCCCGTTTATTATATATAGCCTCCATATTCATCGTGCAGGACAATGGAATCACTGTGATATGTAAGCTGTGTGAAATCTCGATCAAAATATCCGTATATTTGGACCTAAAACCTGACAATAATCAATAATCATTGATGGTCCCTCTTGAAATTATTTTATTAGTTACAGACAGGACCATAACTCGGGTATAAGCTTTTAATTCAGACGTTAATATCTAGCAAGTCTCGCATTCATACTTTTGCCATTTCCAAACTTGAACACAAGTTTAATTGAGCTTTGTTGCAAAACAGGAGATTTATTTGCCCTGGGGCCCTAATCTCTGAATTGCATAAATTTGAAACTAGTCATAGCGGACGGAAGCGAAAAGGCGAGCGGATAAAGGTACGGCCAAGTGTTATAAAGCTGTTAGGTTGCTGGTGACGTGCAGTAGCCGCACTTAGCAGAGTTGGGGCGTGGTGCGAGCGCAAGGTTCCTGCTTTAAAACTTAAACCCATCGAAGAACAACGGCACTATTCACTTTCTGACCGGAGTGCACATAGTCGGGAAACTGGACTTACTTGAGTGTGAATTAAGCCTTCAGCGCAATGGCGTGTTTTAAGCGCTGTCTTTGTGTCTTTCTCACCCTCCCGGGGGTACTGCAATGGACCGGGGTCTCAGGGTTCAACCTTGATACCGAGAATGCCTTCAAAAAAGTCGGTGAACCTGACAGCCTCTTTGGATTTTCTCTTGCCATGCATAGGCAACTAAAGCCCTCCGATAAAAGAATGTAAGTCTGTTACTTTTTTTTTATCGTAGACGAATCACAGGAGATCTTAACGGTCGCTGCGTGTTTTCTACGACCTGCAGCTAATGTCAGGCTGTTATTTACGGTCGGGCTATTATTTAGGTGGTTGTTAGTTAGGGTAACAGGTTGTTAGTGAATTCCCTTCAAAGAACATGAAGTAGGCTAGTTTTTATGTTTTTAAACACCTGTCGTTTCTTTCGAAAACAAGCAATTGCAATTTTTGGAGATTCTTTTCTGTTTTGTTTCTAGTGCAAATGAATCATTTAAAAGTTGTGCATTATTATTATTATTATTATTATTATTATTATTGGATTCGATAGTTGTACGCTTGGGTGCTTGATTGACGTAAGGGTTCCATTTCAACATGATGCACCCCAACTCCTGCAGACCACGTTGGCCGATACCCCAGGTGCTCTTATTTGGAAATTCCGACCCCGGACAAAACGGAGGCGAATCGGCGGTGCGGCTTTCGGCTGGATCTCCAACAGGCATTCTAATTAGGCGTGAAACTTGTCTGCTGGAGAATGGTGCGGTGGCGCGTGAAGTGGTCTTGCACTTTAATGCGAGTGATACTTGCATTTGTAGTACAAGCTTCCACGGTCCCTTTATATAGAAGGGACCGTGAAACAAGTGGGTCAGAACTGATTTAATATGGTTTTAATCTAAATATTTATTATTTTTATTCTATAGATTTTGTCGGGGGGTGGGGGGATGGTTCACTCTTGAATGATACCTGAGAGTCAGGGTGGGCACTTTTCAGGTAGACGTGAGCAACCCAGACACTCTCACTGTTTCAGTGGTGTAGCTCTGGACTGCCTGGGGACGTAATCTAAAGCTGTCCGTCCACTTTGCTCTCAAGTTGTCACTGATTCGTCAAAAGGGATTTCAGTGGTTGGGAGCCCACACAGCCACACAAGCCATTAACGTTTACGTTTAGAATCCTAGTTAAGCTGTCTTTTTCATGTAAACTTGTGTCGGTATTTCCTTGTCAATGAACTGTTGAGAAGTTTAGGAATTGTATATACATACGTATATAAACACTTTATAAACGTCATAAGATGCACGGTACTATTAGATACTTGCATTTTCGAAAACTGGGACTTCAGGCAGGTTTAGTGTGTGTGGGCAAACATGGAGGCAGTCAAATTGTACCTGTGCAGCTGGATACGGTTTAGAGACTGCGGAGTGGAGCCTTGATGCATGACTGATGATGTATCTCAACAACTGAGGGAAACCATGGCAGCAATTGAAAGCTGGAATGTGCTTGAATCAGAATGGAAGGTTTTCTTTTAAATCAGGTGGCTTGTGCAGTTTTATTGGAGGGGGGGGGGGCAGGATATTCTGTTGCAGAAGCTTCTTAAAATACCTCCAAGTCCTTGATATCAGCACATCCCTCTACTTTCTTTATGGTTATTGTTTAAAAATGACTTTGAATTTAAACCATATACCAGATGTCTACAGGCTTTGTAGAACCTTCAATTGCATCTCTGTAAATTAATTTTGGAAAGGGACATCTTCTCATGTTGAGGGAGAGGCGTCGCCCCCCTGAACTCTGACTCATGCAATCAGGCTCAGTTCAGGCACGTCCGGCCGACTCGTGGAAAATTCTTGCCCGCGAGGAGTGTTTTTCACGCATCCAGGAGTAGAGGAGAGGGCTCGCGGGCGGCGTGACGAAGCCTGTCAAGGCAGGAGGGAGGCAGCGTCGAGGTGTGGATGTTCAGCGGGGGCCAGAATCGTCAGCGTGTTGTAGGTCGAGGGTCCACTCCGGAGCTCCTATGAGATCGGCCTTGTAGGCAGGGCGACATTCATGTAACCGGGTCTTCTGAGTGCTCTAGCATTCTTGCTGATGGGTATGAATGAAATTAGAGTGTCATCAGCTAAAGGCTGTTAAACCTTTTAAATGTGGTGCAAGTTGCTACTGGGACACCTGAGTTCAGGGGGGCCACTAGAGATTTTGGGCCCCATGAAAGAATATTATACTGGGCCCCCAACCCAGACCAATCCGATTATGTTCTAAGTTTTTTAGGCCCCCTGTCAATCAGGGGAGTAGGCAGTGGGAGGGATTATTTCGGCAAATAGGGATGTGCGGATACCTGTCCAAGCTGGCTCACTCTCCCAGAACCGACACCTACTAACGTTTGATTACATTTCCAGTTTCTTAACTCCTTCTGTCCTCTTCTGCTCTGCTTTGCTCTGGATCAGTAGGTCTTTGACCGATTTTTAGGAACTAAAGTTTAAAGGATTCGGAGAGAAAGATGATTTAAAGAATGTGATGCATGTCTCTTTTATACTATCATCTGTTACAGTATTTTCATAGTTTGCGTGACTGAATACATAATATTTTTTTCTGGCTACGGTAGTGAGATGGCAAAAATGCATCTGTAGCTGGGAAAAACAGAGCGCATAAACTAATTAGATCTGACTGCTCCCACGTTGGCGCTGGGATGGCTTGGTGTTCATGACTGTTTTGTTCTCATGTCAGGGTACTGGAGCACAGTGCAGTCCCAGTGCCAATGGAGATTGAGGAATGGAGGTCGCCTCTGTATTTTACTGCAAACCATAACACAGCCTCTTGGCGAAATGGTTTGGAATTCGCCGGAGTTTTCCTTTGAATCTCTCACTCTTCCTGGCAGGTCTATCCATCAAAGTTGAGGAACTTACAGAAATAGACCCTTACATGTTTCACAAAAGGTGTAAACCAGAAAACCTATTTTAATCTGAGACATCTCAAAACATAATAAGCTTCCAAACATAATACAGTTAGTAATCTCTCCCTAGGTTAGTACACAGCTGGCAAGCAATAACAATGGCTTTGAAAAACAAGCTTTTAACCCTAGTTAACCTTAAAATGACCTGAGTAGTGAAGGGAGGTATGACGGGAGGCTTTGCAGCACAGGGCCTCCATAAGAACGTGCTGCTGTACATTAAACCAGGGCAGAGCATTCAGACCCGCTCAGTGTCTCCAGGAACTCAAGTTCACTCAGCTGAAGGTGAATGTGGAGGAGGCCTCAAAGTTAAATACAATGTTTGCTTTCTTTACAAGAAAAAACCATTCCTAATTGTTCGTCCTTCCAGAGGACTACATCCAGGGCAGAGGCTAATTTTCCTTGTGGGTTGCTGATGATCTTTGGTCTACTTTCCTTCCTTCCTTGCATTCATATAGTTTCCTGCATAACACAGTTACAGTTAAGACTGCACATCTTCACAGAAAAAGCCTTGACATACTTGCCGAAACAGTGACCGGTGCAGCATGCTTGTGTTATCTGGTAATCTTTATTTGAAGGAACTTCAAGGCAGAAGGGAAGGGGCAAGACCTGACATGTGCTGGACCATCTGCGTGGGGGTTATATGATACAGCATGAGTTCTTGCCACTGATTTGAAGTCATTCTGGAATACATGCATCTTAATAAACACAAGCATAAAGACAGGGATCCAGCATTGCTGGTGCTTGGACCCCTAATGATTTGGGCCAGCTAGTTTGTTTTCCAGTTTAGAAGTCTTCACGTCACACAGATTGTTTTTAAGACACAGTGGGCCTCATCACGATGGCTGTGAAACCGGTCCGACGAGCCAAAGTGATCGTAGCAGAAGGTGTTCCACGTTTCGCTGGTGTCAGGTCTCAGTTAGGGTAGCCTGATACCCTCAGAGTCAAAGTCCTACTCCGCAAGTGCACATCTGCGAGGGTATGGCTCACATCTGGAGGCTGAGAGCTGAGCCAGCGCCCACATGGGCCATAATTTACCGCAAACACGGTAATGGAAACCATGCGTCTGTAGCACCCAGGAACCCGACCTGTACAAGGGACACTAACTACTGTGAGGAGGAACTGTTTGGGTTGCCGACTGGTGCTGTGGCTGATTAGTCTTTGCTTACGGTTAGTGAATAAAAGCAAATATGCCCCTCCAATTATGGGTCTGTGCTACAAACATTTTGGCATTGTTTAGTGTTGCATTGTATGTGGAAATGGAGGTCATTACTGGTGGTTCACAAAGCCTAAGAATGACATTGTATCATGCAGAGAATGATTGTGACGGCTTGGCACATGGAATGCATAGTGAATGGATCACCCTTATTATATGCTGTGGAAATAACTCCAGCCGAATGTCTATTACTTCTGGATGAAGTCTGTTAGTTCATTGTTAATATTTTTTGTTAATTTGAAGTGATTAAGCAAGCCAGCGCTTACAATATTTTTTTTTCTAAGAATAATCTGTTTGGTTGTTAGCCATGTGGTCACAAAATTGCCCCTCCGAGTCATTCATTGGTTTTCTCATGAGGTTGAATGAATTGTTCCCCAAGCAGCCAGTAAAGTGAATTGAGGTATTCCATGGTTGACCATGATTCACCAAATTAACCATGATTAAAAATGACAATGGAGCAGAATTGGTAAATGAAGCTGTGGGAGCCTTTGTTTTTAAGATTCTCATTTCAGTTTACACACAAACATAATCATAATGACATAAATATCGGACTAAGAAGATAATTAATGTTCAGATGGAAATTAAATTATCACCACTTTTATATTCCCTCTGGCTAAAAGACCCTCTTTGCTAGTTTTAGCTTTGTCCACCGTGAGGAGTCGAAGACATAGTGAATAGGCCTTTTCTTGAAGAAGCTCTTATAAGGAAATCATTCATATGTTCAGTTGCAGGGCTTCCTATCTGTTTCCTTATGCACAGTGACAGCCTGTGTTATCTCTGCTTGGCATATTACTGTTGTTGTTACAATCTATATGTGCTCACGCAAAGTCATCTGTAAGGAAATATTAATAGCAGTAATAATTATGTCTAACATATCAAAGTCTTGTTTTTCTCTTGATTATCATTAAAACCATCGAATAAGCCAGAAGAATTCCTGCCAAAGCACAGCCTTTAGATCCTACTTGCACTGTAAAGTATTTCCTAAGAAAGGATGTTAAACTCCTCCACAGCCCGAACCCAAATCATAATTTAATTTGATAAAATTGATCAAAATTTTGGAAGGTGTACTGTTGTAAAAGAGCTCATTTTACAATTTAAAAAGACATATGTGATATGTAAGCATAAATGGCCTGAAATAATACAGTATAGATGCATGAGTATTGGAGCTTGTGAATGACGTCTGCTGCTGCTTCTCGCTGTCGACGCCCAGAGTGGAACGTATGATCCGTGGAGGGTTAGGCTGCACTGCTCCAACAAGGACTTCTCTGTTGGATTCATTTGTACCCCTTAACCCAGTGGAAACTCTATGTAATTATCTCAGTGGTCACTACAGGCATTTGTAGTTTTTTTCCTGTTGAATATTTGCTGTCTTGTTTTGATTCTGGACTGTAAATAGTTGGTGAGGGGGCACCGTGTCGTGTTTTCATTTCTTGCCAGCATTGCCAGTCTTCTGCATGGACATGGCCTCCTGAAGTATTCCAGAGCTGCTGCTGCCTTTTGTATGAATGTTATTTTGCCCAGTGGCTGTGAAGAGATTTTGTTTGTAAAGGAGTATTTCCAGAGTATTCCTGAAATATCTTGAATGCCGCTCAATACATAGGCAATAAGGCTAGCATTCAATCACATCTCTTAAAATTATGCTTTACATAATCATTTCCAGAAGGGGTGTGAAAATCTCCTTATATATTTAAAATTCAAAGATTCTGTAGTTTGAGAGAGAGAAAAGTATTTATGATTGTCTCACTAAAAACATAATGGTTACATTTAATTTTTAACAATGTATCTAATTGAAAAATCCACCAATGGAGTATCTGTGAAGGAGCAACGGTGCACAGGCCTTTTTCTGATAGGATAGACGATTCCTCTGGATTTACGGCCGTCATCACCACGGCGCACTTTACCTGGCTGTCCGCGGACGTCGGCAGTGCACATGGGCTGCCAGCGCAGGGCTTGGCGGGTTAAAGTCCATCAGGGCGCAGTGACGGAAGGCACACCTTGTGATAACAGCGCCAAGCCACCAAGCAACGTGGGCAATTTCATGTACAAAATTGTTGGCACTTTTTCTCCCAGGATTTCGACAGTATGTGAAGTTTTTTAATTTAACTTTGGATGGCATAAAACAATGAATAATTTATTATTAGGTTATTACTCGGATCTCTTCTGGTGACGGTGACAGGGAATGTGAAGCTTATGCCCAAGAAGCCAAGGGCACAAAACGCTTGGCAGTCTATTGAAGGGTGCACACACACTCATGCACACACACACCTATATGTACATTTATATGTATAGTTCCATATGTGGGATCTCTTTCACCTTTGAATTTCCACTTTGAACCTTCTGAACTGATAATTGAAGATTTACTGCTAGAAATGTCCCGTTTTGTTCTCTGCAGTCTGCTTCCCATGTGTCCAGCAGTAACCCCTCACTGGGGTTGCGGCCGTCTTGGTTGCCTGATCATGTTCTCTGGGGCTCCGTGTCCCAGTGAATTGCGCCACACGGCTACTGGGCTGCAGTGGCCGGCTGTGGAAATAGTGCCCTTTTCATCACTGTGCACAAAGAGAGCTTTTGTGGGAAAATATGTGAAGTGCTTGCATGGTGCATTATCACTCAGACACCCAATTTAAACACATAAAAGAGGCTCAGTATAAAATAATTAAGAAACTCTGTGATACCAGTTCAAAGCAAGATCGATTATTATAGATTTTTTTTCATGAAATGATGAAATCTCACATGTAAAAATGCTATCTGTAAAGGTACTGAATTTTTACATTACATCTGGGGTAAATTATGAACCGGTTAACAAATGCTCTTAAATTGACTTACTGTTAATATGCACAGCATGCTGCTGAGGTCCAGCCACAGACAAGCGCTGCTTCTGTCTCATGTTCCCACTCATTTGAGTTAATAATCATCCATCATTCCCATTTTCAGGCTGCTGATTGGGGCCCCTCGTGCCAAGGCGCTGAACAGCAGAGAGGTCAATATCACGGGAGGACTGTATAGCTGTGAGGTCACTCCTCAGGCCAATGACTGCAAGCGGGTCATTTTCGACAATGATTGTAAGTGCTGCTCTCTGGCGTCTCTGAGCTCCCGAATCACGTGTCCGCCATTCTAGACTGCAGTAGCTTCCTTTTCCTACAAGACGATGTGTTGGAAGCGTAAAGTTGACATAATGCACATAGGACATTGTTTCTTTGTATAAGCTGTGTTTGTATTTCATTGTTTCTCTTTATGATGTTTGTTTCTCATTGTTTATCTTCATGTTGTGTTTGTGTTTTATTGTATCTCTTCATGTTGTATTTGAGGTTTTGCTGTTTCTCGTCATGCTGTTTGTTTCTCCTTGCTGAGTTTGTATTTCATTGTTTTTCTTTATGTTGTGCTTGTTTCATTGTTTCTCTTCTTCTTGTGTTTGTCTCCCGTTGTTACGCTTCATGCTGTATTCACAGTGTGATCATGACTGTTTGTTTTCCTTGTAATATATGTTTTGTGTTCCTGCCTCATGTTCTTTCTTCTCCCTTCATGATTAATTCAGATAACCCTGCAGTGGAGGGAAAGGAGAACCAGTGGATGGGGGTGGTAGTGCAGAGTCAGGGACCGGGGGGAAAGATCTTGGTAAGTCACTGCTTGCAGGTTGTAGAGACTCACACGGCTTCTGGCGTCTGGGCAGGACAGTCACTGACACCGTATCGGCACCCATGCCATCGCATTGCAGACCTGTGCCCATCGCTACCAAAGACGGCAGTCTCGCGAGTCCTGGGACGTCACAGGCCGCTGCTACGTCTTAAGCCAAGACCTAACCGTCAACCCCAAAGCCGACGAGGATGGTGGCAGCTGGAAGTTCTGTGATGGCCGTCCTCGGACCCATGAGATGTTTGGGTACTGTCAACAGGGTCTGTCTGCCACCTTCACAAAAGACTACCACTACCTGGTTTTTGGAGCACCTGGGGCCTACAATTGGAAAGGTACGATACTGAGGGACTGCCAGCAATATGACGAAAACCGAAAATACTTGGAAGTCAAAAAACAATGTTAAATGGTGGAGTTCTCATTCATATTGCCTTCTTTTAATGAGCCACTTTTGATGGTCTGAATTGAATCGTTTTAGCAGTAGTTTCATGAGCAATTAAGTGATTTTAATGGACAGTTTTACTTTGTGCCTTATGCATGTTCTAGTGCGATTCCCCAGTTCATATTTTTGCATTCTCTTCTCTTGAGCTCCCTCATTTTCGCTAACATCCTTGCTCTGACCCCCTACAGGAATTGTCCGGGCGGAGCAGAGGAACAGCACTCTGGTGGAAATGAACATTTATGAAGATGGGCCTTACGAAGTTGGCGATGAGGACACCTTTAACCCTTCACTGGTGCCCGTGCCTCCCAACAGTTATTTAGGTATGCTTTGACCCTAAAAACACATAAACCAAAAATACACTTGTAATATATACTAAAGTGCTATATTAAATACTATATATGAAAAGTTAGTCACCTTTTTGCGTTAACACTTCCATGAACTCTGTTTATCTCTGATATTTTTCTGATATTTATTTTTAGTCCAGATTTGCTTAAATTGGTTTTGTAGTGTAATTTGACAGCTACCTGTATATAGAGATGTAATCTTGTAATTTACATTATTCCCAGATACTACAGATCCTTCCAAAACTTCCATTCACATTCAAGTCTGCAGGACTTAAGCTTTTTTGATGTGTAATAGCTTTACATTATTATTGTCTCGCACATGCATAGTGCAGCTCTTATTATTTTGCCTTTTAACGTGACAGAATGGTCTATATTATGTAAAGAAAGCCCAATGCACTCCTGTTACTGCTTTAGATCTAGGAAAATGTCCTTTGCGTGACAGGATTTTCTTTGGACTCCGGCCACAACATTACCAAAAAGGGCCATCTGACTATCGTGGCTGGAGCACCAAGAGCCCACCACAGTGGGGCTGTGGTCTTGCTGAAGAAGTCCGAACAGTCTGTGAAGATGCTTTCGGAAGAGGTCATTCTTGAGGGACAGGGATTGGCATCCTCCTTTGGCTATGACGTAGCCGTCCTCGATCTTAATGGAGATACGTATGTGGAACTTTGATGTTTTACTATTGTGTTTGAAGAGTTACTGATTTACATGTTTTATACCTGACATTAATCAACCATTGCATATTAGTATATGTTACGATTTATTTTTAAATTTATTTCCTAGGTGGCAAGATATCGTAGTTGGGGCACCTCAGTATTTTGTTAAAGATGGAGAGATTGGTGGAGCAGTTTACGTGTACATCAACCGAGCGGGTAACTGGAACCAAGTCAAGCCCATTCTTCTGACGGGGCCCAAAGACTCGATGTTCGGCCTCGCAGTTGAAAACATTGGGGACCTCAATCAGGACTCCTACGGAGGTAGAGTAAAACGCTAGGATGCCATGGCAACAAAGAAACCCGGTGCTACTAGAGCCTTCTCTCAGAATGTGTTTGTCTCTGCAGACTTTGCAGTGGGAGCCCCTTACGAGATGAACGGTGCAGGAAGGGTGTACATCTACCACGGCTCGGCCAACGGTATCAACACTAGGCCAGCACAGGTCGGTGCCATCCCTCTTTCTCATGTGCTCCAGCTTTCGGGGGGCAGTTCCAGTTGTGTAAAATTCCGGAATTGAATAATTATTGAAAAGTGCCCATATGTTGTTTTTTTTTTCTTTAGATTCTTCAAACGAATGATAAGAATATCAAATTATTTGGATACTCTCTTGCTGGAAACATGGACTTGGATAGTAATTCCTATCCTGACATTGCTGTTGGATCTCTGTCAGATGCAGTGTTTGTTTACAGGTAATGTGCTGAAAAATACATCCAGCCATCCATGCATTGTCCAGTACAGGACCATTGGGGGCATTATTTCCTAAATGGCGTAATGGCTTGTATTTATTTATGGTGTGACGTAGATGTTTGTTTCATTTCTGTTCCAGGGCAAAGCCAATCATAAACATCGAAAAGAGTGTCAAGACGTCACCAACTTTAATCGACCTGCAGAACAGAAACTGTGGTAACAGTATATGGTAGGATGTAAATATGTATAATTTTTATAATCTATTACTGTAAATAAGTGACTTTAAACATATGAAATGGAATCAAAGGAATTTTCTTAAAGGGCCAACAGTCATTTGTGTTTGATGTTTGTCTCTTTTGTTTGTAGCATGACAGTTGAAGCCTGCTTCAAGTATACAGCACAGCCAAAGTCCTACAACCCCAAACTGAGTAGGTGGCTCTAATAATGTTCAAGTGCGCTGAGCTTTCTTGACATTGGCTAGGTGGGATGGTTGCATGGACCTGTTGGTTGGCACTGAATATGTTTTTTTTCTTTTTTATTTCCAGCTATTGGGTACTTGTTTGAGGCTGAGTCAGAGAGGAGGAAGCTTAACCTGCCATCTAGAGTCACGTTCATGACTAAGTCGAACACGGACTCGGATTTCCAATCGAGTGGAACCCTGGAGCTGCCTGGGCAGGATATAGCGGAGTGTGTCAAGGTCCAACTCAAGTTGAAGGTGATGCTCCTTTTCCTGGCCCTTTGCTTAGCTTGGCCACGTGCTCTTTTCATCACGTAGCAGCAATAGGCAGGAGCGCTAATGAGTCAGTGTTTTTTTAGGACAACTTCGAGGACAAGCTGAGGAGCATTCCCATCGACGTATCCGTGTCCATCAAGAGTTCCAAACGCAGGAGGAGGGACACCATCCTGCCAACACTGCTTCCAATACTCAACGCCAATGAGCCCAGCAAGTCCGTCTCCCAGGTATCCATGGCAACCGTCTACAGCATTCCTAGTGAGTCTCTCACAGCACCTGGAGCTCAATGATTAGATCCTCACTGCATTCATAATCTGTCTCATTTCGAACCTCATTTGTGTGTCCTTTAAACACCAACAAAGTATATAATTGTTATGGTTTCTCAACAAAGTGAAACTGCTTTCACTTTTCAGATAAAATTTTTGAAGGAAGGGTGTGGACCTGACAACATTTGTCAGAGCAACCTAGAAATGAAGTACAAGTTTGTCTACAAAGAACCCAACCAAGATGTTTTTCGTGACATGCCAACGTAAGTGGTAGTCTCTGTCCACAATTTTGTCAAGGTTGAAATGTCTCCCTCTGTTGCATCCCTCTGATTCAGACTGTTATCACAACCGAAGTCTGTGAGAGTAGGAGATGTCAGTGAGCTGGTTTGTTTGGCTTTCAGAAAGGACGGCGTACCTGAGTTGTTGCTCAGTGACCAGAAAGACGTTGCTCTAGAAATCAATGTGCAAAATAAGAATGGGGATGACGCCTATGAAACTAAACTGCAGGCTGTGATACCCAACTATCTGTCCTACTCCAAGAGCTTAATAAAGATGGAGGTGAGTCTACTCCACTAGCATTAGCCTTCATGCTCCAGGCCTTGTTAGGCTCCTCTACACCCATTCTTCTTGTGTCTCTGCAGGAGCAACAAGCTTTCTGTAATGCCAATAAGAATGGCTCGAAGGTAGAATGCATTCTCGGGAATCCGTTCAAGAAGAATTCAGAAGTAAGTGCCGGAATTTGGTTGCTGCTGGTCCGTATTTCCTGAGTCTATGTGTCTTCATCGATGTAGCCTGAGAAACCTCATATGATAACTTTTGTTGGCAGGTTACAATATACTTCATACTGAATACGGCTGGTGTGACTTTAGACACCAATGACATAGAAGTTGATCTCAAGCTTGAAACGTAAGTGCTGTTAAAATACTGTCTTTCCTGACAACACACCAACTTAATATGCAGCTCAGTATATCATAATTAAGTTGACTTTTACAGTTTCTCGATTGCTTTGACACATTTCATGAAACATACTTAACATTCTCAAGACTGCAAGAGCATTTCTCAAAACAATTTATGCATACAGCTCAACACTATGGTTTAGCTGCAAAAGCCTGTAACTTAGGTGGGAATTAGCGGGAGAACATTTTAAAATGGATTTGAGAAAGCACTTCTTTACACAGCATGTCATTAGAGTATGGAATAGTCTCCCTGTTAGTGTAGTGCAAGCTGAAACCCTGGGTCCCTTTAAATCCGAGCTAGATAAGATTTTAACAACTCTGAGCTAATAGTTAAGTTCTCTCCAAACGAGCTTGATTGGCCGAATGGCCTCCTCTCATTGTAAATTTCTTATGTTCTTATATAAAACAATTAAATCATGTCTGAAAAGCAAATCATTCCACCAATGAATTAGTCAGCAAATCATTCCACCAAAATGAAAAGTACAATCTGCATTGTTTTAACCATGAGAGTCAAAATTCTTAGATATTTTGTCAGTATGTCAGTGTAATTATGCTCCTGAGCTCCACATTGCTGAATGATAGTTCCCACTTTCTCATTGTCACTGACTGATCATTCGTCTTTAACAATCTAATACTTATTCATGTCAAAACACCTGTTTCAACTTTGTTAAGCTCCATATTACAGTATGTAACGTTCACTGTTGAAAGAAAGCACTTGCTGCATTTTTTAGATCTCAAGACACAGTATAATAGCAAACAAAAATGTCACATAGCGCAGTATAACACAAAAACAGCAAAACAGCAAATCAAGAACAACAAAATGATGTACTGTGGGAACCAAAAACACAACAATGCTTTATCATTGCAGTTTATGGAATATATTTTGAAATAATTTTGAAACCTCGGTTAACTGATGATCACATGCATATATTGTTTTGGGTGCAAAATTATTACAATAGGAAACTGCATAATCTATTTTGACCAACAAAACGAAAGCAACTGAAAATTGTGCCAAATGATGACAATTGTACAAAACCATTTGCACATATGTACTAAAACATTTGGAAAATTTTTGAGAAGCAATGAGAAATGATGTTCTGCTATGCAGAAGTGACATTATGGTGTGGGGATTACATTTGTTGTTTAGCAAATGTTTATTGTCATTTGAGAAACGCTCCTAAGCAATCGAGAAAAACTGTAAACACTGGTCAAAGTCAGAGGTGGATAGTTCAGATCCAGAAAGCAAAATTCCAGACCAAGATTTTGTTTCTGGTTGAAACAAAATCTTGGCCTGGATTTTTACTTTCTGGACCAAAACTATCAACTTCTGGTCAACTTCTGGTCGATCTACATTTCAATCCTGTGATAGACTGGTATCCAATCCTAGATGTTCCTTTGTGTCCTGGGTATCCTGGTATAGGCTCCAGGTTCTCTCTGACCCTGCACTGGATAAACTGTTGAATGGAAGGATGGATAATCCGTGTCTCCTACTTGTTTTCTCTCAGGACGAGTGAGCAGGCAAATCTAACGACCGTGAAAGCAAAGGCGAAGGTGGTCATTGAACTTCTCTTGTCAGTCTCGGGGTGAGTGCATTTTCTGGGCGTCGGCCATCTTCGGATACTACAAAGCAGGCAGAATCGTAGATTTTTATATACCAGTATTTTGCTCAATTTCTCTGATCTCCACCAGACTAGCCAAGCCGTCACAAGTCTATTTTGGAGGGGAGGTGAAAGGAGAAAGCTACATGGCAACAGAGGATGACATTGGCAGCTTGATTGAATATCAGTTCAGGGTAATCATTTCCTTGACTTTAGGTAGACGGGCACTTGGGTTCTGTCATCCGCAGCGTCCACATTCTGGTAACCCTCAGAGAAACAGCTACACCAAAGAGTGTTGCTTTAATTTTCACACTTTTTCACTCCTTTGGCTAGATCATGAACCTGGGCAGACCGCTGAAGTCCTTTGGCACAGCCTACCTGAACTTCCAGTGGCCAAAAGAGACCGCAGAAGGAAAATGGATCCTGTACCTGATGAAAATAAACACTGATAGGCAGGAAAAAATCATCTGCAGTCCCCATTCTGAAATCAATCCTCTGAAATACATTAAGGTAACCTTTCTTGAATGGCATGACAGCCAATAATTATTGTAATTATTATATGAATATTTAAGGATATTTCAGTGTAAGGATGTCATTTAAAAATTATAAAATATAACTGATATTTTGACATAAAATTTGTGTGTTTTTCCTGAAAAATACAACATTATAAGTCAACATGCTTTCAGGAATCCTCTAAATCAAGAAGCAAACGTGCGGCTGAAGAAGAACAATCAGAAAGCAGATTCTCCCCTTTCAAAGCGAAAAGGAAATACGAAATTCTGGTAATTGTGTTATATGGGTGTTATTGTGCGCCTTTGTAGTTAATATGAGCTGAAATGCAGACACTGACAATGGCGTTCTGTTGCAGATGTGCGGCAAAGGGGTGACCTGTGTGGAGATCCGGTGCCCCCTGCAGGACTTAGACAGTAATGCAGTCATTGTCATGCGGTCCCGGCTTTGGAACAGCACTTTCCTTGAGGTTAGTCCTTAAGGAGTTTCTCGCCAGATAAAGTTTTATTTTTCTTGCGTCAAATATATATAAATATGGTAAGTATGTGAGTGTGCACATGTATGTGCCCTGTACCACACGGGGGACCATATCCAGGGGGTGCCCCCCTCGCGCCCTAATCCACATGGGCATCACCCACTGCCACCCCCATCCCTGCTGAGTATAAGCGGTTGGAAATGGATGGACGATGTGTTTTTGTAGTTTGCATGTGCTCCCCATGTTTGTTCTGGGTTTTTTTTGTCCCCCCCCCAGTCCTGCCATGCTGTTTTAGGGGGTTTGATGTCTTTAAATCATTCGTAACCTGTGCTTGTGTGTAAATGTGCTTACTCCGCGATGCGCTGCACCATGGCTACACCCGGTGCTTCCTGGGATAGGCTCCATACCCGTGGCAGCCGTGCATGGGAAAGAAACTAATGGAAAATGGATGGGTTAACTGTGGATCCCTGTGGATCACTTTCTTTCTGATGCCAAAAGCAGTGTGTTTCTACCGTTCGCCTCTGAACAGGAATTCTCCGACCTGAACTATCTTGACATCATCGTGAAAGCCTCTCTCCAGCTCGATGTGTCCAAACAGAACACTCTTCTCCCAAACGCTGAGACACAGGTGAGCTGCTGCCGGTCACATGTCAGTGTCCTGTCATCCCATTGGTCTCTAACCTCCGTCACTTTAAGATAAACGCCCTTGGTAATTTCCAGCTTCCCCAGCCTTACTTTGTGCATCGCTTTACATTCTAGTCATCAAGGCTCATCCTTAATGTACTGTAATATCTTGAAAGTGATTAGTTGTCATTGTTAACACACCACACCACACAATAATGAAATTTTTCCTCTGCTTTTAATCAACATTTCACATTGTGACATAGCAGGGGGCAGCTAATTCAGCACCCAGGGAGCAGCACTTGGGGGCCATACGTTACTCAGGGTACCTCAGTGGTCGGGGATTCAAACCAGCAATCTTTGGGCTACCAGTGCGCTTCCCTAATCATTGGGCCGTTCATTTTCTATTCCCTTTTCCCTTTGACAGGGGAGAGTCTGCTTTCTGATTTTCCTTCTTTAGTCACACGTTTTCTTCTTGATTTAGAGGATTCCAGAAAGTTACCGTTAGTAAAAACTGGTCATCTTCAGGATCAGAAGAGCATCAGTTCTTGTGCTTCTGCTTTTGCAGGTGAAAGTCACTGTCTTCCCAGAGAAGAAGGTGGCCAGGTACAGTGGAGTACCTTGGTGGGTCATCCTGGTGGCCATTTTGGCTGGAATCCTGATACTCTCTCTGCTGGTGTTTCTGCTCTGGAAGGTAAACAACCGCAGAGTCAGCCTTGTGTGCTCGGAGCCTCTGTACTCTTCTATTCATTTCCCCCAGACTGCAGCCACAATGGGAGACACAGCAACCTGAACTTCCTACTTAGTTCCTTAGCACTGACATGATATGAAGTGTCTTCAACTCAAACTGAACTGTCCTGTGCATCGCCGGATTTCTTTTTGAAACAGTACCCTTGTCAATTGTTGGTGTTCCCAGAAGTCTTGAATGCATACACTGGCCTTACCTAACAATTAATAATCTTTTTTTCCCTTGTAGTGTGGCTTCTTCAAGAAAGCCAAAAAAGACCAGTATCACAAGGCTGAATTCAATGTTTCCAAAGAAAGGCTCACGGCCGATGCATAGGGCCTACCATGCCCCCGTGGATGTCTCTGTGGGTATTTTAGAGTCGGCATGGCATATACAGCATAATGCTGAATCAAGCAGCGTCCCAGACACTACAGTTGATGCCTAAAGTTCTGCTTAGACATAGTGTCCAGGCAGAAAGTGTGGGAAATGATTTAAGACTGGCTGGTCAGAACATCCCTCCCTGTAGTCTTTACTCTAGAAAGTGTTCTGATACAAGTGGCTTGGTCAGTCTGCAAGCACATTTTGTCAACAACAGGCAGATGACATTAGTGGTCGGAATGTTGTTGATAATTAGTATACGTGACTAGCAGACATGTGGATATATACTCTACATTGGCAAAATAATGTAACAAGCTTTTAGCTTGACTGCATAGGTGATGTTAGATCAGGTCCGTTAGCTAGTTGACCATAGGAAATACGACTCAAATTTTTGCTGAAAATGCACAGGTTTGCTGAACCATTATTTCAGTAAAATGCTAGTTACAGTTTATACATAAAAACAGGTATTTGTAGTTCTTTAGGTATTTGTAGTTCTGTGGGCTAATGCATTTAAAATACTCGATTTAGGATAGTATTTAAAGTCGCAGACCACCAGGCTGACCTTACACAGCCATTTGGCAAAGAGCACATACTTTATGTCAAATGGCATCTAGTCATGGGGCCCTGATTGAATAATAAGTTGGTGACAGTGAGTGGTTGTATGGGCTTGGTCCATATAGCTTACATGGGTGTCAATAGTGTCATTTTTATGTATTGCACTGATATGAACAGCACTAATCAATCTGGTCATCTGGCCATAAGCTGAATAGCTAAAGTTGTTAAATGGGTCTTTAATAGAGAAGGGCTCATTGGCCCGCACCTTGCCGTAACTGACAGGATGAAAAAGGAAGTGATGCATATTATGGAAAAAGGACTGGCTTCAACAACTGTGTGCCTTAAGTAGAAAATTCTTCTCCACTTCTGTAAATTCTCACTAGAGGATTCAGTGCAGCAAGTGCAATACATAAGAATAAGGGTGAATCTCAATAACAAGAACGTGAAGATCACACTTGTGGTCTTGGCAAAAGCAGTCTTGCGAATTTGCCTGGCAAGAACAAACCTGGAACGCAAGGAATCATGGGATTGGTCTCGTTCGGCGAGGATGCAGCCGATGTATCCTTGATATTTGGGGCGGAGCAAGATCAACATCCAGGGATTTTTACCTTCCTCTGTACTTCTGTTCTTGACTGTGGTTTTCGGCAATGGAAGACCACAGTCTTCGGCAATGGAAGATGATGTAAAACGGGTATACAAGAACACAAGTACGGTCAAGCACGCATATTGAGATTCACCCTAGCTTCGTACACAGATGTTTCTGGCTTGCTTCTCGTTATTTCGGTCCTGGCAGCTTCCACACTTTGGTTGACGGTGTTGTCTCTGCAGTTTCCATCTGCTTCCTGTCAATGATCCTGGAGGTTCTTTTGGGTTTCTAGGTCTCTGCTTTACCAGTCTGGCACCTTGTGTATTTTCCATGGAGGGATTTTCTTTCCCCATGGGACAATGATCTTGGGCAAATACCAGAGGGCCGCTTTCCTGTAATTCTTCACTGACTTACTTTTTTTTCTCCCTCGTAATGGATTTTACTGGTGAAATGCCAACATTTCCTCATTTGAAATGATCTTTTACTGTTCTTTTCCCAGTGTGGATTTTTTAAGCGTTCCAGGTACATCGACATTCCGAAATATTCAGCGGTACGGATAAAAAGAACAGAACAAAGCCCTGGAACCCCAGAGAAAAAACAATGGATGACTACGTGGAAAGAGAATGAGAGTTACTCTTAAGCCGATTGGACCATGGAAAAGTTCTCTCGTTTCTAATTGGCTCCAGTTACTGGAGCCAGAGACTCAGTCACAGCCAGCCAGGGGCTGTTTTGCACCACCAAAGTATTTGACTGTATATATTGAGACATCTCCGATTTACTATAGACAAACCCACAATACTTCCAGAGGTCAATTTCAGAGGACTCAACACTTGCACAATAACAATGACTGTAAAAGAAAGTAAAGATTTAGGTCTATTTTTTTGTATAACAATTCAAAATATTGTCACTAAAGTGTACACTAGGATTTCTGTCTTTCAGTGCGTTTTGGTAAAGCTTTTCAGTCGTCAGTTTTTAAATGTATGGGATGAATGATTTGTAGGATTTGTATATATTTAAATATTTTTGGAGAATGTGTATTTATTTTCTCAGACTTCATTCTGTGGATGTTCCTAAGACCAAAGAAACTTGTGTTTTATCTTCTGAGGACTTTCAGGAAGACAAAGAAAATAGGTTTCAATAGACATGTCTGCTGGGTTGTTGCTGACCAAGATTTAATGTCAGATATAAAAACTAGTCTGAATGGATGTAAATATTTCCTTGAGTAATTTTTCTGGGATGCACTAATATAGTGCATAAAAACATTTTTAATAGTTATTTTTATCTGTTATTGGTGTGGGGTGGCACAGTGGTTCAGTGGCTAGTAATGCAGTCTCACACCTCCAAGGATGTGGTTGATTGCCCAACAGTTTGTGTAGTTTGCAGGTTCTCCCCATGTTCATGCAGTTAGCTGAATTGGCATCTGATCTACCTGTAGGGTGTGTGAGTGTAAGCCCTGTGATGGACTGCCATTCTGTCCAGGGAATCTCCTGTCTTGTGTCTATTACTTGGATAGATGTTACATTTCGGTTTCAGTTGGAGGAAATTCATTCCTTAAAACAGACATTTTTAAATGTATTATGTTTGCATATTTAGATATTCACACTGCTTACAGAGGAATTCTGCTCTACCGCTGTAGCTCTCATCTCTGGGTACGATGTTTACAACATGGAACCAATTTGCATGTATAAAGCTGCTTGTTATTATTTTTTTAATCAATTTTTAAAGGCTTTTAAGCAAAAAAATAATAATTTTACTTTGGGTTATTATTTGAGCAAACAGCTTTCAGCATAGATCACCTACAAAATGCTCCCAGAGTATAAAAAAAAGCTGACACCTTGCATAGATCCAGAAAAGAGCAAACAGCCAGCAAACAGTTACATCACTTTTTTATTCATCTTTAATATTTTTACACTCTTTGGAAGTAACTAGTTATGCAATATCGATGTTAACTTACTGTGTTTATTAACTCTCATCTGGTTGGACTGATATCCTTAGTCTGAGTGCAATTTGAAAGGCTACAACAATCGAAACATTGATATATTTTCTGATGGAGGACACATGAAAGGGAAAGAAAGTCACATAGTACAGCTTCACAAAAGCCCCACATTGTCACGAATGTCACAAAAACATAGTTACACCTGTCAAGCCATTTGTTTGTTTAATTGTTCGAATGTATGAAGGGCTGCCACTGATGCATGTAATGGACACATTTCCTACAGAACCTCTTGAGAACAGCTGTGGATTTTTAAAAGAAACTTAATAAAGGAACAAAATGCTTGTTGGCTTTATTTTTATTCTGTTTATCTGGGGCTTAGTCCCAATATTAGTCAGAAAATTATCCCAATGATTTATTTTATTTTGCCAAACATAATTTGCTACAAGAAAACATTTTGAATTATTGATATACCTATACATATAAAGACATATTTAAATCAAGAAAACACAAAATCAAAGGCAATGTGATTGAGGAGAAGTTCAAGTCAGACACAAAAGGACATCCTGAATCCAATATATTTCACTTGAATAGCAATAATAAAATAAAAACTAGTTCCATTTAGGGAAACTACTGATTTTTATAGGGGAGGGGTGAATGTAACAAAGAAAATCTTAAATTGATAAAATGCACTTTAATTAAATAATGCATTCCTCCATAAATCACAGCTGAATCACATGATGTCTATAACAAACTTAAATGATTTATTAATGAACTGCGTTTAAACTGAGCCGAACTAAATTCTACTTGATGGCATTGGCATGTATGCTTGAAAAATTTACCAATCATTTAAGTATTTTACACATCTCCGCAGAATTTATCTATCGACACATTCAAATGCACTTTATGCATTTCAGTATTTTTTTATTACTTGGATACTCTTCATAGCGGCGATTTCTGAAAATCATACGAAATTTATTGCAGGTTATTGCAAAATAAATCAAGCAAGTGGTCAGCAGATGGCGTAGTAAGAACAAAAACTCATGACACTGCTGGTTCAAACTGGTGCGAAGGTACTGTCCTGCAATATTCACCTGTGTAAATGCATAGAAACCGTTAAGTCCGTCGGACAGATTTTATACTTGCATTTACTCGCCCTGAGACTCTCATAGCCATATATCTGACGCCTTTGCACCGCAGGATCGGGCACAAGGTGACAGTGTTCAGGTGTCTGGCGTTTGCGTACCGGATATTCAGTCTCCTCCCTATCCACGCACTTCCATTAACAAAGGTGGGCCTAAGTGTAAGAAACTAAAATACGGTGGTTTTAGATCTTCAGATGACCGATTTGTCTCTGTTGACAAACGTATTTCTTACAATGACGTTACATCCACTGCCCAGTAACTGAGCTATTGAGTGCGGACATTAACGCGGCATTTTAGTTAAAGTAAATGCGCCAGCTGTTTGGGTCTCCTCTAGCTAACTAACGTGATGCAGACTTAAAGGATCGCTTTGTGGATCGCCTGCTTGGTAGATGATCTCCATGGACCAGCTGGCTAAACCACTCAGCTGAACTTTGGACGGAGCGCGTCGCCATGCGGCTCTTACGGTCCCTGCTGAGCAGCTGCTCCCTTGGGAAGCATGTCGATTACTACTCCAGGTTTTCCCCGTCGCCGTTGTCTATGAAGCAGTTTTTAGATTTCGGTGAGTTTCTACCTGATGCTATTTGGTACGTTTGATTACATAAAGGCTAAATGACTTTAATAAAGTGGGCCGTGCATCCCGCTTTTCACTTTTGCAGGCTCGGAAAATGCCTGCGAGAGGACTTCGTTTGTATTCCTGAGACAGGAACTGCCTGTCAGACTCGCAAACATCATGAAGGAAATAAACTTACTGCCAGACAATTTATTAAAGACACCATCTGTTCGTTTGGTCCAGAGCTGGTAAGTTTGCTAACAGCTTTACTCTAGTCCTAACCACAGGCGTAAATTATAGGGTGGGTGTGGTGTTGGTAGTAATCAAAACCACCAAATACTACCCCCCCTGGACCCCCTTAAATGGGTGGCGACCTCAGCACCCCCGAATGCTCCACCCAAAGTTATGCCCTGGATCCTAACCCTACCGATCCACACCTGGTTTTAGAAGTGGATTTCTGGACGTTAAAATTATTTTCTTACTGGTTGAATGCAGCGGCCTTTCCAGTCTCCATAAACAGAGAGCATTGCTTGCTAATGAACACTGTTTGTTTAGGTATATGCGAAGTTTTGACGAGATCCTCGACTTTAAGGACAAAAATGCCGATGATGACAGAGTCATTTATGAGTAAGTAGGTGGCTGCTGCACTGGTCTATTTTCGTGCACAGATGGGTATCGTTTCAGCATCTATTTTTCATGCATGTGCCTTTGTTGCCAAGTTTCACGGACGCGGTGATAAAGATCCGGAACCGGCATAACGACGTGGTCCCTACCATGGCCCAGGGAGTAGTGGAGTACAAAGAGCTACACGGCATCGACCCGGTCACCAGCCAGAACGTGCAGTACTTCCTGGATCGTTTCTATATGAGCCGTATATCCATTCGGATGCTTCTGAACCAGCACAGTGAGTTTCGAACATTTTGCAAACTTAATACTAAACTAGGGTGACCAGACAATCCATGTCAGGGAGGACACTTTGAGCTACTTCGGGTTTTACAAACTACTTTCTAATTGAAAGGCTCCTGTGCTCCGCTAAATAGTTTAGGTCTTCTTGTGCTTTGACTGGTTTGTTTCCTTGACTGAAAGACTCATCCAGCTGTTTCACATTAGCATTAGTGACACATGCATGATTATAGGAGACTGACCAATCAGCACACAGCAAGAGCTGAGTGCTCAAGTGAAATCCAGGTCCGCTTAATTGAAATGGTAATTTACAATTCCTGTCCTAGCTCAGAGTGTCCTCCCTGACATGGATTATCTGGTCACCCTATACTAAACACTATTACCAAATGGCCATATTTAAAAGGCAGGCCAGAAAAACAGCCCCTAGTATTGTAAAATTATATATGCCTTTTTCTAAAACTTCATTTGGATCGACATTCAGAAAATCAGTTTATATAGCTGTCATACACACAAATCATGCAGCACATCATAGATTTATTGAATTTTTAGAAGTTAGTTCCACGTGATACTGCAACACAGCACATGCTCCTTCTCTGAGGTAAGTGAAGTAGCCAAGTTGAGGGAGTTCCTCTTTTTAGTAGGACACCGAAATGTTTTAGAGGGGGAGTTGAGCACATTGTCTCAGGCTTTTGGTCAGAGAGCAATGGAAAGGCTTTGATCCTGGCCAAACCTGCTCTGTATCTCAATGCCTACAGCCACCCCATACTTGAAGTTGTCTTTACTGTGAGTTGTAAACATTGTTTTATATAGTTCTGTGAAAGTCATGTCTTGTACCCCTTCTTGTTGTCCTGTTATAGCACTGTGCTACCAAATTATGGGGGGGGGGGGTGGCTCAGGTGATGACACTGTGCCTGTCATCGGGAGGTCATCAGTTCGAATCCCATGGTTGGCTGAGTGGTCCCTTCATTGGGCCCCTGAGCAAGACCGTTGACCTCCAATTGCTGCAGAGACTGTATGATCCTGCTTTCAGTTCTGTGTTGCCATGAATTAAAAACGGCTGCCAAATAAATTTGCTAAAAAAAGGAATCTGCAATCTTGCGATCATTTGATTACATATTGTATGTGGCAGTTAATGTCAAGATGAAGAGCTTTGATTCATTCTAGAGTGTCTCCCCCTCCACAGCTCTGCTCTTTGGTGGGACGGTCAGGGCCAACCCAGCTCACCCGAAACAGATAGGAAGCATTGATCCGCACTGTCGGGTCACAGAGGTGGTGCAAGGTGAGTTTTCCATCGCCCCTGATGACTATCGCTGTGTCACCAGAGGATTATAACAATCAGTTTTCACCCATCATAGAAAGAGCTATGTGTCTCTTCTGTTTTTAGTAGTCAAGAGTTTATACACAGGGGGTTTTATATTGGCAACTGTAAAGTGGTTCATGAAGTCATTACGGCTACCAAGTAATTCACATTAAACTCCATCACAGATGCATTTTAGATTAATGGCTGTAATGCAAGTCTCACAGTGGCTGATGCCAGTTTGCTTCCATACACAGGGATGTGAAAATTGTAAATCCGAAATTCCCTCCCTTTAAAAGACCTTTAAATTCACACCCACGTCTTTCAGATGCCTATGAAAGCGCCAAGCGCCTCTGCGATCTTTATTATATGAACTCGCCGGAGCTGATGCTGGAAGAATGCAATGGTAAGTAAAAATGGATTATTGGTCCAGTTGTGGTATTGGGTGTCTTGCTGTTATAAATGGTCAGTGCTATAGCTTTGTGAATTTTGTAACGTAAATGGTCTTTCATCACGATGACCTAGTTGGAAGGTGGATGGTGTCTTACGGAATAGCGATGAGAACCGAAAAAGGTCCCGTGGGTAATAAATGCATGTCTGCCTGATATCTGCAGCCAAAGAAAAAGGAAGACCTGTAACGGTGGTGTATGTTCCCTCCCACCTGTACCATATGATATTTGAGCTTTTTAAGGTAGGTTCTAGTGTTGCGTGTTATTATTCTCCTTATAAACATATCAGTCTGCTTTAGGATTATTGTTGTTAATGTAAACTAAAAGAAAATATGAAAATAAATTACAACTAAACAAAAAGTATTAATATTGCTTCAAAAAATGAACAAAATAAAAAATACCGTTACTGTTTTTAGTACTATTTAGCTAAAGTAATGACTTATTAATTATACCCCTGGAAATCAAATGACTTAAAATGAAAAACACGCACACTACTGTATATACACACAAGCATGCCAGTGTTTGTGTGGTGTAACTTTGATTATTATGCTTCTTCAGAATGCCATGAGGGCCACCATGGAGCTGTACGGCGATGCCCTGAATTATCCCCCAATCCACGTCAAGGTGGCACTTGGCAGTGAAGATCTCACTATAAAGGTATTTTTTCCAGTGGGGTGGTTAGTAGGGGTGCACCTATGTCAGACTCTGAGTTTGGAAATAAAGAGAGTTTCCTGATAGGTGAAGGACCGTGGAGGGGGCGTGGCCTTAAGGAAGATTGACAGGCTGTTCACCTACACCTATTCCACAGCCCCCCTACCCCACACGGACACTGCCCGGGGAGCCCCACTGGTACGCTCTTATGAACCTGACCTATATCTCAACCACACCCAATACATAGATGCTCCACGTTACGATGGTTCGACTTACGATATTTTCGACGGTGCGCTAGGAATGCACGTTCAGTAGTCATCAAACTGAATTTTGAACTTCTCCCAGGCTAGCGATATGCCGTACGATACTTTCTACTGATGCCGGGCGATGGCAGCATCCATCCAGCCACAATTCTAGCGACCACCAGTGTAACCATGTCATATAGTGTTTGACGATGTATCATACATTTTTTTATTTTTTAAACCTTTTCTGTGTTAAAATTTTTCCCCAGCCCATTATGTCTTAAATGCCTAGGTGTTTCTCCTGTTTCTGGTGAGAAAAGGAAAGCAATTACTTTGGAGATGAAGCTTAAGATAATTGCCTAGCATGAAGGCGACAATTATTTGTTTTTTACTTACTTAGTGACAGTATTTATCCATATTTGACTTGCGATTGGGTCAATGGAACAGAATAGTCAATAAGCATCTGTACTTACATACACACACGTGCACACTATCCATTTTATATTATAAGGGTAATGTAATTGCTAATTTTGTTTGCAGGCTGGCTATGGCTATGGCCTTCCCATCTCTCGCTTGTACGCCAGGTACTTCCAGGGAGACCTGAAGCTGTATTCTCTGGAAGGATATGGGACAGATGCTGTCGTGTACATCCGGGTAAATGGTCAAATTTACATATCACCACCAAAATGTTTAGTGCGCTTTTTGTGGTTTTTGACCAGTGGTTCCAGATACTGTCCCAATTTATTTCCTCTTCCTGCCCATCTGTTCTGTACAGGCGCTGTCCACAGAGTCGATAGAGAGGCTTCCTGTGTACAACAAATCTGCCTGGAGACACTACAACACAACACATGACAATGATGATTGGTGCACGCCCAAGACGGAGCCCAAGGGCGTCACATTCTAGATTGGGGTCCACTTCTGAGACTGGCTGTGGCGAGTAGGACAGTGAATTTGCCTGCTGGAGGTCATTAATGTGTGGAAAATTTACAGCATTTACCCTTTAAATCCTCAGGGTTTTTTTGTTCTTGGAATTAAAATAGGTTGTAGTCACACAATTGAAATGATGGATTGAATTTGTCTGTTAATGACTATTCTGTTAAGCTCTCGTCAGATGGGCTTCAAAAAGCTGGCTTAAACTACTTTTATAAATGTGTAGTTTTATGCTATGTGGTTTTTCTTTAATGTTTATGAAACTGTATATTAACAGATAATGGTAATTTTTCTGCCTGGTGAGCTGTTTCCAGTCAAACCATTGTTCTCCCTGTTAAGAGGTGGGATGGAAGCTTCGAGAATTAGCAGAGGACTTTCAGCAGAACTTGCAAAAGAAGTATGACTTCGTACAATCTGTGTGTTACAAAGGGTATAGGCTGCTGTACAACTGGCACTACTTCTGAAAAGCTGGTGTTACTGTAAAATGCTGATTTTTCTTGACATGTTGCATACTGGCTACTGAAGGTGGGATGGGCCGATGCCCATCCTGTCACTGCGCCCTTAACAGTATTTATTTCCCCTCATTTAAAAATCAGGTGCATGGAGGAACATGGAAACATCAGTTACCTGTAGCTCAAAAGACAAGCAGTATTGTTAGGCGGTGGAATGTGCCTGTTCCTTTCAGTGTGATGTATTAAACCTCATAGGTGGCAAATGCATTATTTTGGCAGTTTTTTATTTTAAGATATAAAGTGTTTCCACCGCGGCACCCAGTGTCTTGTTTCAACACCATGGTAACAGTAGCTGTGTCTGACAAACTGAGCATAAATGGTACTGAACACCAGTTGCAGTTTTATTTGTTCTACCATATACAACAAACAGGGAAAAATGATCCTGGTGGTATTTGCAGAACTTGCAGGAGGGATCGAACTAAAATTTCCCTTTGTCTAAATGTCATATTAATGTCCAATAATCCATTTAATCAAGTGATACAAGACAGGAAAGGAAATCTTAGCAATGTCATTTGCAGTCAGGCCCGTCATGTGACCAGCATTGGCCAATGAGGAATGTCAGGAAGGTTCACATGATATACCACAGAAGGCTTTACATCCAATCTCTGTCAAGGCAAGGCATGTACAAGCAAAGGACTCTTACAAAGAAGTGCGTTCTTGGGTACCATTATACCAATTAAAAAACTGGACTACAGGTAATCATTTTATCCCCAATCCACAGCTCTGTACTATTAGTGGGGAAAGCAGCAAGACCCTGTAAACGCATTTTTTGTATTTAAAAATTATCTGGTACTACTAGCTATTCTACGCAGTAGAAAATGTACACTTAAATGTTGATCCCTACTTTGCTGATACAAAGTTTTTTTCCCCTTTTGAGTTATGCAGTTATTAGGCCAATAAGTATAAAAAAGTATTATACAGCAAAACCTCATCACCCTTCATAGTTTAAAAGACAACAGTGCTTTTAATAACTGTACAAAATTCCTGTACCAAAAGTTCTGTACATAGCTACAGAAGTTATTCCTTGAAAAATACAATATAAAACATTTAAAAAGCTGTATTTACTCAGCACTGATGCAGATGGGGACACGTCAGCTAACCCTGCGAAGCTTTCAGGAATGAGGTATCATTTTTCCCAACCTTGGAGTGAAGTAAAACATTAAAATCGTCCTGATGTTAAACTTATGCATCTCATGGTTGCCTGATTTACCTTTAAAAACGTGAAGCACCTTCCCCTCGATAAACCAACATTTACACAACCCGACACCTTTGATTCAGGCAGGAAAGACTGGCTCTACCATACTTACAGAAGCCTATTCTCCCACCCCCTGCAGGAGAACCGCTGTCACCGCACTCCTGTTGCATGCAAGTACAGAGCGTGAAGTGGTTTCGTAAGCAAGCGTGTTAAGTGAGCGGCAGATGAATAGTGTGGTAGTCTGAGTGGGGGGGGGGGGGGAGCGACAGATGCAGCAGATCACAGGACACGTGATGCTTTGTTTGTGTCTCAGCTCTGGACCAAGTCCGAAATGCCACCAGTTCGGGGCATCTGCAGGTTAGCCGACTAGTACTCAAGTGTGAGGATGTATAGCAGAACTCATGCTAATCCCAGCTTACAGTATTCATGACCAGTTCATTGATTGTTCCTAAACTGGATAAAGGAAACCTAGTAAAAGATACGTTACCGATTGGGCACCCAACGGTGCATGGTTCCAGTTCTGACCAATCAGAAGTGGAATGTGAAAATGTGTTATGCAGGCGTGTTATGCAGCAGCTTAACCTGAAGGGGAGGACAGCGGGAAACTCGCAGAATCAGTGCTTTGACTCGTCGCCGTTGAGTCTCAACACTGCATGTCGCCGCTGGCGGCCAGCTTCCCGCTCCGCCTCGCCTCCTTCTCCCGCTGCTTCTCCATCTTCTCCAGGGTCTTCCTCATGTCCTTCACCCTCTTCTTGATAGAGGCGCGGTCGCTCTGACTCGAGACGCCCAAGGCCTGGCAACAGAGGCGAGGGTCGGTAATTGCAGGCATGTCTAAGTACAGTCACTAAAACTCCAGCTTCTGACGACCTCCAACGGCCGCCTTTCTGGCTCAGCGATGGCAACACAAACCTCAAGCTGTGTGAAATTCAAGCACGTCAGACTTTACACCACTAGGTGGAAGTCAAAGCCCCATAAATACCACATAGCCACATTACTGGCTTATCGGTGAGAATGAATCCTTTTCGTCTACCAAGATGAATTCCGAAAGCAATTCTTTTGTTGCCGTGAAAGGACGGATGTATCCTCACCTTGAGCCTGTCACTGTCCATGTGCAGGAGTTGCTGCCCGTCGATGTCCCTGCCCGTGAACTCGGGGGTGTACTGCTCCATGTTCATGCTTATCAGCCAGAGGCAGACCTGCTTATTCGTCCAATCGGAAATGAGCCTGTTCTGCCATTGGTGCTCCTTGCCCGGGGGGGGTGGGTCATCATCCAGAGTCTGCAAACAGAAACACACACACTCTTCCATACAGCCCATGTGACTAATGACAAGCCCATGCAGCACGTGGTGATGTGAAACCGCACCCAAAATGGAATGCACTTCTGAGGCAGACCTTTTGAGATTCTGTTGTCCAGCAATGAAGGACAAAAACAGAGACTCTCACAAACCAGTTAGCACATTATAAAGAGTGAACTGGCTCTTTGGTTAATATGCAAGCGAGGACTGTAACCCAAACAGGACTGTATAGCTGCTCTAAGCCACTACTGACATGCTTGAAGTGTTGACACTTAAAATGTGTGGCTTCTGATGGTCACCACCCAAAGAAGGGGGGGGGGGGTATGCAGGTGTTAGGAAGAGGACAGTCACCTCATGCTCACACAACTCACACAGCATCATCTGAAAGCATCCTGGAATCTTCACCCAGTGGTCAGAGTGAAGAATTCAGGCACTATCTCATAAGTATCACGCTTGCCATCATCATGCAGGCATGAGAAAGTGGGAATGTGAGGCTTTGTGAGAAAGGACCCCCCCCCCCCATTAAAAGGGATGCACAAATTAATATGGAGGGATTTGCAAGAGGCAGCAGCAGGACTCTCCACAGATGAGGAAGCCTGTGCCACGTCCGAGCCTTCCAAGACACCCCGACATCCAGCACCACAGAAAAGCCTCCCTCGGATGCACCATGCCATGCATGAAACCAGCCGAGGCCATGTCCATCCCCGGGCAGAGCAAGGCATGCTGGGTGCACGGGGCGGGCCATGTGGGGGGTGGGGGGATGGGGCCGACCACTCACCTCATTGGAAGAGAAGCTTAAAGTGTGCGAGCGCCCAGAAAAACTGGGCTCTGCAACTAGCCCAGTCAAGTCTGAACTGCGACTTTCAGCGTTTGAATCGTCTATGACAGACAAACTCTGGAACAAGTGGAGACAAGGAATGTATTAACTGGACAGAGACTCTAGGAACATACCATGTCTACTCCCAAAGGGGGGTCCAGAATATGGCAGGGGCCCAGGGGTGGATAGATAATGTGGCAATGTAGGTCACATCAAGAGACTGGGAGCCCCCCCCCCACTCCTACTGATACTAATAAGAATGAACCAACTGGACAGAAACCAAAACAAAAGAATGTGGGTGTAGATCAAGTGCTGGAGAATTTTCACACAAATGTCAGAGGAAGGCACACATCTACGCACCCCATCCGAACCCTCTTTACCGGGAGGTAAAACAAACAAATAACAAAATTTATCAATTTATCAAAACCCACAAGCAGGCAAAACATCCAGATGCTTTTAAAGGTTTTAAAAGTGATCAGAGCACATTGACAATGAAACCAGCTTAAACATCTACATGAGAACACCCGAATGCAAAGAGCAGAAATGCAGTAATGCGGCTTCTTAAGCTCCCCCCCCCCCCCAAGTGTACAGTGTTTCAGCCAAAACCCATTTCAGCAGATCAGACGCAGTGCGAACAGTTACTGCTCATTTATCAGCAAACTGCTAAACTGGGGGGAAGATTCCCATCGCCTCGAGCCCAAAATTTAGGGCTTCTCCCCTTTGGGATTACTCTTAATTATCATCCATGAGAATTAATCGCAGGCAGAGGTACACAAACATGCACTGCTGTGATTAGAGCCTGTGTGTATCTCCACATCTCCCCCCTAAGAGCAGAGTCGAGCCACACCAGGTTCAGCTTAGGGTCTGTTGTGTTCAATCTCAGTGTTCCTCAGCCCAGGCTTTGGGGAGTCCCTGACTGTCCACGTTTGCTCCCTCCCAGCTCTAAACCGACCAGGAACATGGTATTCCTGGTACAGGTGGGCTGGGAGTTGGGAGGGAACAAGCATGTGGACTACCTGAGGATCCCTGAAGTCTGGGTTCAGAAACACTGCTCCAGTTGGGTAAAAAGGCTAAAAAAAAAAAAAGTCACCATAAAAAGTTATTTTACATAAATTCTCCATCAACAGAAAATGTGAGGTCATACACCCTAACTTTTAAGGGGACATGAGGATGTTCAGTGACAGCCGCAAAGAAGGGTTTTCTAACACAGATTTACAAGAAAAACAGGTAAACCCATCATACATATTTAGATTAAAAATTTATGTTTTCATTTTAAACAAATGCTATTTTTTGTTAGTGGCTTCATTACGTTGCATCTTGTATACATTACTATCTCATACTTTGCATGCAGTACTTTGCCAGTGTGGTTCATCAGTTTGACAAGCACACATTAGTAAGGGCATGACATGGGGCAGTGAGGGGTACTGAACCGCGTGTAAGGAGCGACTGAATAAGGAAGACCAGGAAACGATTGTCTGTTTGGAAACAGGGACATCAGCCAAAGGCGGCACCCGTCTGTCTTAAGGGGGTGAGGGTGATGTAAAAGATGCCTAAATCCCTCTGGGGATTAGCAGAGAACCTCAGCTACAAAAAGACTGGGAGAAGCTCTCGTTTAAAGAGGTCCTTGGAATGGTCAACCAATGGACACGGTTTTTCTTCCTGAGCTTCTGGGATGCCAGAGAATTCCTCACAGAACTCTGGTGTCCACGTGGCTTGGGAATTGGAGCTTGTTTTTACTGGATTTCATTATGACAGAGGATGGAGCTGCCCCATCAGTCGGTGTTTTAATAGCCGAGGAGCAGCTGAAGCATTTGGTTCTCTGACAAACACCATGCCACAAACAATTTTAGACTTGAACATTGTGACTTCATTCACAAAGAGATACTATATGGACAAAAGTATTGGGACACCTGGACTTTACACCTACAGGAACTTTTATGACATCACTTATAAATCCGCAGGCATCACTTTGGAGCTGGTCCCTCCTTTGTAGCTACAACTTTCCATAAGAGTTTGGAGTGTGTCTGTATGAATTTTTGCCCATTCATCCAGAAGAGCATTTGTGAGGTCAGGCACTGATGCTGGACATGAAGGCCTGGCTCGCAATCTCCATTCCAGTTCATCCCAAAGGTGTTTGATGGGGTTGAGGTCAGGGCTCTGTGCAGCCCAGTCAAAATCTTCCACACCAAACCTCTCCAACCATGTTATTATGAACTTTGCTTTGTGCCCTGGGGCACAGTAATGTTGGAACAGAAAAGGGCCTTCCCCAAACTGTTTCGGAAGCATAGAATTGTGTAAAATGTCTTGGTATGCTGAAGCACTAAGCGTTGCCTTCACTGGAACTAAGGAGCCTGGCCCAACCCTTGAAAAACAACCCCATACCATTACCCCTCCTCCACCAAACTTTACAGGTGGCACAATGCAGTCAGGCAGGTAACATTCTCCTGGCAACTATCAAACTCAGACTCATCCATCAGACTGCCAGACAAAGAAGCAGGATTCTTCACTCTACAGAACATGTTTCCACTGCTCCAGAGTCCAGTGGCAGTGTGCTTTACACCACTGCATCTGACGCTTAGCACTGCACTTGCTGATGTGAGGCTTGCATGCAGCTGCTCGGCCATAGAAGTCCATTCCATGAAGTTCCCGGCTCTCAGATTCTGTGCTGAGGTTAATGCCAGAGGAAGTTTGGAACTCTGCAGTGTATGTGAGTATATGAGTGTGGCAATGGGTCTAAATGAAACACCTGAATTTGTTGATAGAGAGGTGTGTCCCAATACTTTTGCCCATATAGTGTATTTCTATACAAAAAAAAAACCTGCTTCTGTTTAGGTAGGGGAAACATCCAGTTTGCGCACAGAAACTTGAGCCGCCAACTTAAGCACCAATCTGCAACAGCTCTGAAGATGCAGGAGAGGTTCTCATGATGATCATGGATGCTGGACCTGTTCCAAGTACAGCAGGTTTGCCAAACCATACAGAGTTCACCCCCCCCCCCGTAACCTGAGAAAATGCCGCTGGTCTCTGGAGGGAGGGGCTGAAAAAAAACCAGGTCCTTCCACTCCTATCTCTCACGAGAACCTCACATGCTCATGTATCAGCTTTCAGCCCCAGAGCCATGACGTCCCTCACAGAGCAACTGCATCGTCGCTGCTGGCCTTCATTACCCCGTATGACATCCGGAATGACGAAGGGCGATACGCAAACTGTTAAGATACCCTCTGAGGCCGAAACGACCACAGTGGTGGACCGGCTAGCTTCTTAATGACCGTTTGACGGGAGACCGTGGAAGAGAGCTGCATTATTCACCTTGATCTTCCGGTCCTGGCTCAGTTCGCTGCCGGACTCCACGGGAATATAAGGCAGGTCGTCTTCCCTTTCCTTATCTTTGTCCCCGAACCAGGAGAAAGGCATGCAGGTAGGAATGGAGGACACAGATCCTGCCGGCGAAAGGTTCCCGCCAGATTCCTCCAGCAAGTCGGCAGATCCCCTAGGCAACAGGAAATCAGCCGTCACCGGCCAGGCCTGGACCACCATGTGCTGAAATAGGCAGCGACGGCCGGAGAGCCAAAGGACAGGGGTACCTGCTCCCAATGGATGCCCTCAGAGCCTCTTTGTCCTGTTTCTTCCCTTTCCCACCAGATTTCCGAAGGCCTCTGTCAAAATTCAGAGACTCCCAGTTACAAAAAAGCCAGTTTCATTTACAAGGCTAAGAGAATCGCTCCTGTAGCTTAGTTCATAGAGTACTGCGCCAACAATGCAAAGCTCGTTGCTTTGGTGAGGAGCACACGTAAATTGTAATCCTTCCCTCACTCTAAGTCAATAATAAAAAGCGTCAGACAAATGAACAAAAGATTTTTTAAAAATTCAGGTGTTAAAGGAAATGTACCCAAAATCTGGGAATCTTCTCTTTGGTTTCCCTGTAGAGGAGCTATCGCTCACCTCTTCTGCAAATAGAAAGAATTGTTCATGAGCAAATAAGTAAATGAATGAATTAGACTAAATATAGAGGAATGGTGGGTAATCTCTTTATAGATGTAGTGAACCATAGCTTCATATTACTTATAATTGTACAAAGGCCCCTGAGGGTCAAAAAGCTTTGGTGATACAAAAATGCTCCTTGACTGCAAGAGTGGCCACTTGATCAAAGTGCAACATGGGTGCTTAAACTCACATCTCCACGAACCTAATTACAGCGCCATGCTCAGGGTGAAGGTGAGTAGCAATAGCCTCAGCAGGGAAGTGGCAAACAGCCCTGAGAGGAAGCGTCGCTTGGCAGACAGATATCATGCGGACAGAAGCCGTACCTTTGGTGTCCTTGCCCTTGCCCTTCTTGACACTCGAAAGGAAGCCGGCATGTGGGGAGGCCGCGTCCTGGGGGGGCGACAGACTGGGGCTGCTCTCGCTGCTGGCTCTCAGGTGCAGTCCCTCACCCAGCAGTGAGGGGGTGCTAGAGAGTTCGCTCCTGCTCCCTGCATACTCCACCGCCTCCTGTGTCTCCTCCTTCTGTCCGTTCCCGGGGCAGTGCATGGCTACAGGTAGCGACAGGCTCTCCTGGATCGAACGCCTCCTTCTGGGTGGAGCAGGGGCCTCCTCCGAACCATCCTCCTGCGAAAACAAAATGGAGGGAAGATGGTCACGGGCCAACGTCTGCGTCCAATCAGCGTGCAAACGCACCGAGACTGGCGCGCACTGAAAGGAGGCCTCCAATTCCAGGAGGAACGAGGCTCTGATCTGTCAAAGGAACATTCCGAACCGACCTGTGCCGGCGTGGTTGAAGACGTGAATGACGCTCTTAGCTTGCTGCGAGAGGGAGGCTGCCGTTTGGCCTTCTGGGAAAGCTGGGCTCGGGCTCGGTGGGCACTGGTGTCCAGCCTCTCCGTCACTGGAACCAGGTCATTCCAGTCCGCATCTGTGAAGGAGACGCATACGATTCAGACACAACGCCTCCCTATCAGCCATTGTAAAATGGCATTTCATTTAAGCAACACACACCATGGACAACATTTCAGGGGTTCCTGTTGCCTGTTAAACGTAGATCTTCTAAAATACCGTTTATGTTTATTTTCAGTTGACAGGGTGGCAACGTTTTTAAATTCCCTTAACAGAAAACACACTTGCTGTAGGTCTGGGGAGCTGGAATAGATACTTACTGAAGTGAACAAAGGGAGGCACGCAGTCTGAATAAAATGGCCACCAGCTCATGTACTGTAATGACGGGACGGCTAGAGAGCTCACCAGACTGCAGGGTGTCAGTGGATTGTGCTTTGCTAACAGAGTCTCCCAGTTCCGAGCTGCTTTTGCTCTCTTCCACACCTTCCGGAATGTGCTCCGTGGGTGCTCTGGCCTCAAGTCCCGCTATCTGAAAGGAGAGGTTTCTGTTAACCAACGTTTGACTGCATTCTCCACCATCATCTCTGGCTGGTTTCACCATAACACCCACTTCTCAGGCCATACCTGCTCCAGAAGTCTGTCCAACTCCTCCTTGTGATGCTTCTCCTTCTCATCCAGGGCTCTCTTAAGCTCCTCCTCCTTCTTCACAAAATCAATCTCCCTGGAGACATGGGATGGAAGCATTTTACATGGATAAAAATCAGAGTACTGTATTGGCCTGAGTATAAGACTCCCCCCCCCCACACTTTTTGGCAACAGTTATTAGAAAAACGTTTTTGGAATACCAAATCTTACCTTTATAAAGAAAAATTATTTTATTTGACAAGAACATAAGTTAACCAGTAACCACAGCTTAAAAAACAACCAAGACAATCTGATTACAAGTGTATTAAACAGCAAACGTTCCAAAAAACAAATGAATTATTGGGAAGGGGGGGGTAGATTGTAATATTTATTAACTCCACAACTCTTGAAGGCCCAGAATGTTTTTGATGCAGCAGACCCACATGAAAATGACGTAATGGGACAAATCTATATTACGGTAAGACAAAACACTCATTACAAAACTTCAAATTTGTTGCCATGTATTCCCTTTTTTGTCTAGATCCTGAACATAAAACACCACCACTTTCTTCTTGTCTTATATTGGGACCAACATGGTAAGTCCATAATTGGTTAAAATGATTTGGGAAGTGCCAAAAGTTCCACGAACATCCATGACACTCTAATTGCCCGTCTCCGGGGTTTTTAAACAGCTGATATTGAGACGGAGAACAGACTCACTTCTGCTGGTAATCCTTGAGCAGTTTCTTAGCCTTGTTGTACTTCTTCTCCAGAGCCTCAAACTGACTCTGGCTCTCCATCAGGCTCTCGTTGGTCGTCTTGCACAGCGCCTGAGCCTCGAGCCAGTACTCCTCCAGCTTCTGGATCCTCTCCTTGCTCTTCTCCAAGTCCTGCTCCAGCTGTGCTTGCCTGGAGTCCTGTGCCGCTTGCTGTTCCTCCGAAATCCTCAGCTTAGTGGGGACAAACAGATGGGTGTTTGCATACATCCACAATTCACAGGGGCGAAGTCAAAGCCATATAAAGGAAAGAAGTCACGGCATGACGCAAAACAACACTTTCGCAAGCAGATGACATGAAAACAAAAAGCTAAATATTGCTTTAAAAAAAATAAAATAAAATAAAACACGTGTCAAATACATTGTTTTTAATACTATTCAGCTACAGTAATTTGTTTATCTTTTCCCCTTGATGGACATCATTTGAATGTAAGCCAGCATATTTCCCTTAGATAATCATTAATACTACCTGAAACGTTTTGAGAACATTAGTATATAAGACGCGCTGTGTACTCATGTAGGATTCTCTAAAGATCAGACACAAAGAAATTCCACAACTTTCAGTCTATCCTTAGAAATAAAATTACTGAAACTTAAGCTGAAACTAAAACAAATACAAAACTAAACAGAAATCTCTTTACAAACTAATAAAACTATACAGAAAACTAAACTTGACTTCAAATGAAAATATAAAAATAAAACCTAAACGAACAAAATCAGAATTATATCATTGATATGACACCAAGATGTTTTTATACAGGATGAGAAAAACAGGACATCACAAACAGGAAGTTCACACAGAGTACGGGACTCTATGCAACTATCAATCAAACCTGAACTGTGGAAATGCCCTGTGGTTGTGCACTGCATGTATTTATCTTAAGGATAACACAGCAGCAGACAGCAGGGAAGGCAACTCTCAGCTCAACTGGGAGACGTGAAATCTGCAATTTGTCACCCAAGTGCTACTGTGTCTGTATGACTGCGTGCTCAGGTTTTAGATATAATCAATTTTGATATATTCTATGTTTTTATACTTTCGTGTGTTTAAAAAACATGTAACACTTCACTTAAAGCACACATGTATAATGCATTACAGATACCTTCATAATGCATTAAAAGGCATTCATAAAATAGTATAAACATGGCTATAACTGTAAAAAGGCATAACATTATAGCCATGTTTATTATGCATTATGAATTCTCTATGAAGCACTATGGTGCATTATAGATGAGAGCTTCATAGAGCATTCATAATGCATCATATTCATGGCTATAAAGTGTTATGTCTTTTTATAAATAGTTAGAGCCATGTTTATAATACTTTATGAATAAATTGTAATGCATTATAAAGGTATCTATAATTCACTATGGTGATTGCTTTAAGTGTTACCAAAAAATATTCTGGAGAGAAAATTACGGCCAGACCCTTGAAAAATCAACACCCTTCCAGCATGACCTACCCTCTGCTTCACTTGGATGAGCTCAGCTGTGGTTATGCTGTGCTTTAGCTGAAGCTGTTGGAGAAAAAAAACACATTACAGTACAAAAGTAACTGTATTCCACTGTACATGTCTTGATGGTCGTGACAATCTAATTAAAAAGGCATCAAACTTTTGGAAATAACTGAATATCAAATAAAGCCAGGGAACATTATTTATCATCAATAATCATGATGCACATTTCAGTCCCAAAACCACATCTGTAGAGCTTTGGCTGAGACCACACCTCCTTGAACCTGAACCCCAGCTGAGTGGAATCCATGTTGGAGGGCAGAAACATGTCCTCATTCTCAGGGAGGTCAAACACTTCTGCTGTCCTTCCTGAGAAGCTGGAGTGCACGACCTCATCAGCATCTTCATCATCATAGTGTTCATCCTGAAAAGGGAATCACAGTCCAAACCCAGGCCACACCCAAGCCGATACCATGGACAACTGCTCACCTTGTTTCTAGAACAAATAAAAAACATCTAAAATGTTTATCAATGGGCCCCTAAGCAGAAACTTTATATACATGAAACACCCACCATACTACCTTCTCTCAGCCCAATCCCCAGGAAACCAGAGACAGTCCACATTTTTGCTCCCTCCCAATTCCCAGCCCAAAAAGGACACAGAATACATGGTTCAGGTGTGCTGGGAGCTGGGAAGGAGCAAAAATGAGGACTGCCTGGGGCTCCCCATAGACTGGGTGGAGAAACACTGATTTAATATTTTATGGTGCAATGATTCTGCTACACATGTTCAAACTTCCTGCATGTGACTGTTCTGCTTGTTATTTCTCAACATGCATCAACAGCTCCTGCATCTCTGGTCGGCGAGATCATAAACTTCATTTCCAGAGGCTGTGAGATAGATACACACTATTGCACAAGTGCAGTTGAAGGAGACAGTTCTTTGTATTATTGACATCTTGAGACCAAAGTTATTTACTGTTGACTCCATACTTGGAATCACTGAGGGTGAACTGCATGCTAGCATTGGTTGGTAAGGGGCAAGATGTGATTGGTTGGTAGGGGGCAAGCGGTGATTGGTTGGTAACTGTTGGGAGTGGCTGACATGGAGAGGTTCCCCTGCTTGGTGGATATGTGCAATTGCTCACTTCTTCTGTAGACTGCTCATAGAGATCTTCTAGGTGCATCTGCTGGTTCCTCTCCTGCTCCAGGGTTTCACTGATGAGGCGGGCCACCTCACTCTGCGTCCCTGGCTTCTCCCGCCCAATCAGGAAGCTGCACATAATGAGACCTTTGAGTCAGTGTGCAAAACAGCCAACGGGGCAACAGTGGTCCCGTTTCCCATCTGCTGATGACACTCCCTGGTCTTCAGAGGTAGAGGAAGCAGGGCAGGGAAAACAAACAATGGAAGCTAGGTGTGTGCTATAGTAAACAATGAACAGATCCACCGCTAGGCTGGATAGCAATTCTCCAGAGCATGCGGCCAAACAATAGGGCGCAGGTCTGGATCTGGATCTGATGTCATCTGAGGCTGTAGTTTCTCCGTTTCTTATTATCCCTTGTTGTATGCAATTTACTGCAACCTGCTGGACTGGCCTTGTAAGTCAACTCGGATAACATGGCCGAAAGCGGAGAAGCGGTGCTAGCAAATGCATGTTTGAGACTCACTTCACTGTGCCTTTGGTGTTCTTCAGGACTGTAGCGGCGAAGAACTGCGTGACCCCAACCAGGCTGATGCCATCCACTTCCACGATCTGGTCATTGACCTGGATCCTTGAAGACACAGAAGGTATTACTCTGAATACAGGTTAGATGCCAACCTTTTTAAATCCCACACTGGGCCAAGAGTAGGAAGTTAGTAAGGGTCTGAAAGATTCTCCCTACCGTCCATCCTTCTCTGCTGCCCCACCATCTGTTATGGTCTTGACAAAGATTCCCAGTTTCTCCAGGCCTTGGTCTGCCCCCACGCCCATTCCAATGATGCTGATACCAAGGCCTTTGTCCCCTGCATGCAAGAAAGAGCATCGCATGGGTCATCATCCAGGATATCCTGTTTCAGGTAGAGCAGTGTTTCCCAACTTGGTTCTCAGAGACCACGTTTCGGCTCCCTCCCAGCTCCCTATCAGATGGTCCACATTTTTGCTCCCTCCCAGCTCCCTGCCAGATGGTCCACGTTTTTGCTCCTTTGCACCTCCATACTAGACAGTCAACCTTTTTGCTCTCTACCAGCTCCCCTATGGGTCCCTGAGGACTTGATTGGGAAACACTGAAGCAAAGGACACATGAATGGAATGACCACAAGAAACAGACCCACCTTTTACGATCTCCACAGGAAACACGTCCATCTTCTCCACCCTCTTCTCAAGCTCATACTCGGCGGATGCCGCCACAGGGTCCACCTCGTCATTGCGCCGGTCATAGTCCTCATTGGAGTACGTACTGTACACCTGTAAGGGGGGGGGGGGGGGGAAGGCCACTGGTATGAGATTTAAAACGGCACCCCACACCTACCTTGCAGCCACAAAGCCAACAGGCAGCAAGCACATGTGAAGACCAGCAAGTAAACAGCGACACACCTCAGAACACTATACATTTAGGTATCCACGTACGCCAGATTCCATCTTGGAGTTTTTGAACATGGTTGCCATGTGAACCATTACTACGGCATACCACAATGTCCCTATTTTACTGTTATAATGTGGAAAGCTGCTATGGCTTGATTGCCCTCCCGCCCTCTCCCCTCCCTCCCCTGGAGATTTGGCATAGTTCAGTCACTACTGGTGAAAACACAAGTCCATGACATACACCATTAAAAGACCCCGCAATGTCATAAGCTCAGAAATTAATAAGCCTAGGAACAGATTATCACATGGTCTTGGCTGCCTGTCTAGCTGCTTGGTAGCAAAAACTGCTGTTGGTGAATGATCTTCTATGTCCAGTCCTTACATATAACTCTGACCCACTACTGAGGGGCTAACCACAAGAAGGGAAGTTCGGCAGAAGTTTGGGTAAGCTGTCCCTCAGTTAGGAGCAAACGAGAACACTGCAGTGAAGTAGGGCACAGCTGGGAGCAAAACAAATGGATCTGTGCAGAAGCTGGATGCAGAGGATCGACAGGTTCTACACCTCAGCCGCTTCAGACAACATTAACTACCCATCAGCGCCTATTTTACAGCTATGTCACGCATAACTCAGAACACAGAAATCCCCATTAAACAAGAAATTCATGAGTCCCCCACCCCGAAAACGTCACCCCTCCCTCATTCACAACCCCATCTGATTTAAACACTCAACTTCCTTGATCTGCAACTCCATAGCAGATACAACAGTAAATTCCAATATGTCTACGAATGATGTAGTGAACTGACATTAGACATGCCCCCCACTCCCCATGGTGGTAGACCCTGCAGGTGGTGGTGGGGGTGGCCGAAAGGATGAGGTGATGCAGTGACAATGATTTCTTTTCCCCAAATGCAGTGGAATGTAATAATAAAAGAAAACTCAATGAAGAAGAAAAAACCCCGGAGGTATTCACAAATCTACAGCTAGGGTGGGAAACATGGCCACTCTACTCATGGCGTGGGGATTCAGCCCACACCCAACACCAACCAACCCCCAACTCTTATCTTAAATAGGTTCGTACTATAAACAAAGAAAAATCCTTAACACACAAAATACAGATGTAACAAGGGACCCTCCCCTCAGCAACAATTCCTTGGTTCCAATTCTGACAAGAAAAGAAAACTACAACTCCCATCAGCCATCAGCTCTGGGATCCTTTGACCCCTGCAGTTACCCTGCCTCAAAGAAACTGGTAAATAAAATCAAAACAAAATCCTTTAGCAATTACCACCACTAAGTTGAAGACTGAACATTGAATAAAAACCTCTTAAATTATCTACACATCCAGTTGGCTACCCTGAATGATGTAATATCTGCCAAGAGTTTACCGCGCTGTCCTAGGAATAATAAAACAGACTTTGAAACCATGGAAATTGCCTGTGCTTGTCCCTAATACATGATTAAACCCACTGGAATGGATGTCTACCCCCAGCACAACACCCCCCCCCCCAGATCAACACCACCCACCCTCACAGTGTGTGGTTCTGTGGGGCCGCCAACTACATTAGGCCCACAGCCATTCCAGAGCTTGTCGTCACGCCTCGTTGTTGCGGGCCGGCACAGACAGGAACCGCAGGCCAGGACCAGCTCTGCCCAGCTAGAGACATTCTGCATGAGGGCACACAAGGTCTCTAGCTCTGTGTGTGGAACACACAGGATTTAACGCAGGAGGCATGGGAGGTGCTGGCACAACCACTGACAGCCTGGGCCAACGATATACACACAACATTCTAGGCAACCAGTCTAATATCCGCAATGGGAGGTCACATGTAGCCAGGGACGTCGGAGGGGTTACTATACCCTGGCAGATTCAGGGGACCCAGCACTTTATACGGGCCACAAAATATGGCAACATCTGCCAAGGGGGCAAAAGGTTGATATTTTGCCAGCAGGACTACAATTTCTAACTAGGGCCTTGCATGTAGGATCAATTAAAACAGCTACACTCTCCATCCACGGCCCCTTTTCTGTGGATTCCATTGTCAGCGGCAGCAGAGTCAAAATTAAAATGTACGGCAAGAGTCACACAAGACGGAATAGGAATTACAGTAAGACGCCGACCCCCCCCAAGAGAGGCGACTCAAGTTCAATTAACAGCTGCCGGATTGTCTGCGTGGGACGCCGGGTTACTCAACGCGCGTTACTGCGGTAGACCACCGCTGCTGAGTAAGGATCCAAGCGGCCTTCGAGTATGAAACGGCCCTTTCATTCCCCAGAAAAAAAAAAAGATTGCTCACATTCCAATGTCGCATTGCTTCCCAGAGCCACTAGGGGCGCCTCTAGCTGGGAGAACGCGTTTTCACCTCGCTGAGACAATTTGTTAAAAGCTGCGGCTTCTGAGTGCCCCGCAGATGCTGGAAGTGGAACGTACAATTTATAAAATTAACCCTGTTCTATTTATTATTGTTTTTTGAATGCCAGACATAATCACATTGACGTGAACAGCCTATATGGTGCCTCTAGAAGCATGTAGGGCCCCGGCGATGTAATACAGTGAACATGCCCAGTCTGGGTAATACAATGCAAGGTTTTGCAAGCCGAGAGCGTGTGAGAACTTGAAGGGACGGGAGGGGCCCCGCCTGACCTGCTCCCCACTCAAACCTGGGGCAGTGCAAAAGCTACACAACACCGGAGTCAGACTGAACTGAGATCATGGAAAACTACAGGAAGGCGAGGCTGCAGGAGAGAGCATGATACAGGAAGACGGCTAACGCTGAACGCAGCACACAGGAAGACGGCTAACGCTGAAAGCAGCACACAGGAAGACGGCTAACGCTGAACGCAGCACACAGGAAGACGGCTAACGCTGAAAGCAGCACACAGGAAGATGGCTAACGCTGAATGTAGCATTGTACACACAATGCATACATGCTGCACCCGGATCCGCAGGCAGTCATACAAGAAACTGATCAGCATATAATCAGTAGATAAGCTCAGCGGTTGAATTCAGAATTTAAAATCAATTAAGTCAAAAATAGCCAATTTGCCATTTATTTTCTGCAATGGCTCATTTTTGAAAGCAATTCCTATATAATATATGCAAATTAAAGTCCAGCGTTACAAGCAACATATAGCTTCATAGAGACATGTTAATGAAGTCTGATTTATTCCCATTCATTCAGTGCTACTGGGTGTCTCCTGCAAACCAGAGGAGCAGTTTGTCATTGAGGGCAGACAAGAGTCAGGAGCCATGACGCTGAAATCAGTCATTAACATTAAAAACAGGAGCTTCAGCGTCACGGACAGACTGCACACCCCTGCCATCACCAGGCTGATATACTCCAGATTCTTGCAGTGAATGACTTCTTTTTAATAGTTAACCATTCTTGATTTAATGCTGCTTCAGCGGTGTATTAGCGGGTTTTAAATGCAATAAACCATCTGGTCTGCAAACCCAAGAAATAAAATTACGAAGTCGTCCACAGCCACAAAAAACGTGGACTTGAGATGTGCGGTCATCTTGAAGACAGAGCGGAGTTAACGCCTGCATTTTCTCCGAACCATTTTTTCCCCCGCTCAAAATCTGATGGCACGAAACGCTCCAGCGACCTCGAACAATGTGCTTTTATTCGCCGAAATCTAATATCTAGTCTGTTATATACACAGCCGGTGCATAATCACAGGACAAACAGTCCGGTCCAATCGCTGTTGGGGGGGGTCTCACAAGCTGACTCGTTGAGTAGGCTTTGGCATTATGCTACAAGATATTTCAAAAGCCTCAAGGTAAAAACTGAATCGGGCTTACGTTCTTAAGCTAACACCTAAACAAACGCCTTCCCACGTGAGAAATCCCTCCTGCTGACTGGTGTCCTGGGATATGAGGGAGGCAAACCGCTTTTAGTTTTTTGTTCCAACAACTGTGACTAAAAGGGACTTCAGCTTCTATGACACACACAAGTCCAGCCTGCATACACTGACGGAGGGAACAGTCATTTTATTTATGCCACTCCTCTTCCTCTAGTGAGGGAAAACTCATCCTCTGCCCGCCTCCCATGCCGGGAGCTTTTGGGAAAACTCAAGAGTGGGAGAATTTCGTACCACGAGCTGCCCCCCCCCCCCCCCCAAAGGCCACAAATCAAAACAGGCTGCGAGGAGCAGGGGAGAGGCCGGCCAGGGATCGCACTGTAATCAGGACGGGGGCGCCATGCCAAGATATTCAGGGCTGCAGAAATTGAAAGGAGGACCGGCCGTATTTCCCGAAAACCACAGGAAAAAAAAAAAAAATGACAGAGGACAAAGCCTTACATTGAACCAGAGGACTGCAATTCAAGCACACCTCCTTTAACCTTGAGGAAGGTACTTAACCTTAAATCGCAGTAAAGATCCACCTTAAAATACGTTTTAAATTGTTGACAATCCATGCTACCCTAAATACAGCTCCTAGCTTAACCGAGTAAATAGTAATAATCAGGGCAACGTGATTTTGTTACCAGCTCTTCCTCCCACGAGTGCATAACTGAGTGAAGGTTATTTGTTTAAAAACCCTGTTGTAGAATATTAATACTGACGGCATTTGCCCAGCAGGGTCTGAATTAGACATGCCGGCGCAGGGGTGAAAAAGTCACGCGTTAATGGTGGGGGAGCGGAGCCCTGAGCAGACGTGTATGAGGCGTAAGCAGATACCCTTGGCATCGAGCTACAGGTTGGACAGGTTTCGCAAAGCGGTGACTAAACCACCCATCCAGGAAGTGACACGCCCCTGTAGTGGTGGGTGGGGGCCCACTCTCCACTCACAGCACCCCGGGGGTGGGGGGGGGAGGCTAATCTCACAATCCATATTTCAAACAGATTCTACACAAAATTAATTTGGGAGGAGGCAGAGGCCAATATGTTTGAGAGGGGAGGAGAAACTCTGAATGGGGTCAACGGAGAGCAGAGCAGCAAAGTTTGCCCAGGTGACGGGGAGGGGCTCAGGTCTTGGCACCGGTTCTCTGATTACAAAGGGCGTGGAATTTGGGCCCGACACATTCCACCGGCCTCCGGAAGAGACAGGAAAGTGGAAAGCACGGCGCCGACGAATAACAAGGGACAGTGCCCGGAGGGGGCCACAAGACAAACACAGTAATCCGGGTTTCATCAGGAGCATTCAGGGCGGGGGCACGGGGACATAGAAAAAGGGCCATGCAGTGAGCTGGGCGGGGGGTGCCATGCAGAAGAGTGATAACATTAAAACCCCTAAAAAAGGGACAACAAAAGCATAGCAACACATAACCCACTAACACACAGCAGAGTGTGAAATAAATCAGGGTGGAGTTTGTTTCATTTTTTTTTTTTGGAAAGGATGGCTTCCTAATTTGAGATCGGCGCTCAAAGAGCAGACTGAGTGAATCCCACCAGTGCCTTCTTTACACGCCCCAGAAAGCTCACGGCCACTCTTCACACGCACCACTGAGAGATGCCCGGGCACAGGGAGGGTGGGGGTGCAGGAAGCAGTAATGATTAACCCCCCCAGAAGCCGTCACTCGTATGATAGGCGAGATTTACTAATAGCCTACTAGGCCAGAGTGACCTTGGACACACCAACTGAGAGTCTGGACTCACCAATTATTCATTTATCGAGTGTGTGCATGTTTTTATGGCATGAATCAACAGACAGAAAAAAAACAGACATTCAGTTGAATCAAAGTTTAATTAACACATTTTCAACAAATTCACACACCTACTCAAGTTTGTTTTGCGGTTCGCTTTTCCCCGAGGACCTCTTTAAAATGCTTCTTAACGGTTAAACGGCTTCATGCCCCTGGACAAAGACATTCCAGCATTACCAGAAGTCTAATTGCTGCAGAGGCAGGATCACGGGACGTTTCTGTGGCCTAACCCACCTACCCCCCGGCACAGGTGAAAACATGACCAGAGAACCTCGCACGGCCACAGGAGATGGGGGTGGGGCAGTGTGAACCTCAGGAGGTCAGCACACTGTGTCCATAATCAGAAGGTCATTAGATCAAATCCCAGGGTTGCCAGTGATTTCATCGTTGGGCAAGGCGCTTACCTGCCTGAACCTGCTTTCAATTGTACATTGTTTTTTGGTCAAAGGCATCTGATACATGAAGAAATTGTAATTGAGATGGACCTCCAGACCACATGGAGGCTGTCTGCAGCCAGATACAAGTGAGAAAAGAGGGCAGTGAAACAAAGAAAAAGGGATGAGGGATTGATGAAAGACTGACTGCACCGTCCTACGAAAGCAGCCACGAAGTACGAGTTAACGACTTGGCATCTTTGCCACCTGAAAAGGCGGGATTCATCCATGCCTGTACCAGCGAGGGCGGCGCGGTGTGCAGGTGATGAGGCCGGACCCAAATAGAGGGCCGATCCCCCCTCCCGGCCCCTGAACGGCACAAAGAGGGCCCTTCTTTAGCAAGCCCCCCCCCCCCCCAAAGCCTCGGTTTCTGGGAGACCTAGTTCTGCCAGAATGTGTCACGTGACAGAGTGAAGCAGCCCCTGAGAGAGACCTGGCTGGGCCACATGGCTGCGCTAGAGAGGGACGGAGAGGGGAGGGGACGGCTCGACTGGTGGGGGATCTGGACCACGCAGACAGTACCGATCCAAACCGCTCCAGGGTCCTCCATCAAGCACTTTAATATGAGACTTTCAGAGCTTAAAACAAATATATTTAACAAGCAGTGTTTTGTTTTTTTATTTAGTTACTTCCTATTGGTTAGAATACAGTGGGATGTAGGAAAAAAAGACAACGGAAAGTGTGACGGGCCAGTGGTCACTTGCAGTGGGACACTGGACGCTTGTGGGAGGTTATTCTGAGCCCTGACCATTCAAGGCAAACAGCTGCTCACATCCCAACCCAGGCGTGACCCCTCACGCAACTTCTGGGAGGTCTACGAGGTCACTCTCAGGTCCTACTTCAGGAAGTAGTCCACTAGGGCAACTCGTACAGCTTAACTGAAATACTGTTCCTCGTCCCTGCTTTTATTGCTCAGGGAGGAGCCTGAAATAACGCTACCCTTCAGTCAGCTGCAGGAAGCTTCCGGAAGAGGCCAGAAAGAAGGAGAGAGACACTACAGCAAGGAGGAGACCAAGTGAGGCTGACAAAATGGGAAGACATATCCAGACAAGGAAAACGGGCAACATATTGGTTGAGAATGTGAACTCGTTTAGTCATTTAGCAGATGGTTTTATCCAAATTGACATAGACTTGAAAAAGCAGGGTCAGAGTTTCTGGAGCAATTGGGGTTAAGGGCCTTGCTCAAGGGCCCAATGGTGGGATCACTCTGCCAACCACGGGGTTTGAACCAACAAAAAAATTCTGATCACAGGCACAGCGTTACAGAGCAACACACCAACCCCACACCACCAAAGTCTGCATAGTTAGGTTGAAGTAGAAGCCCAGGGTTATGACCAAAACTGCTCCACTTAAAACTATGAAGGACACCAGTATGAAAGAAGAGAGCAACAGGTTCTCACAGGAACTCAAGTTTACATCCCACCTTCACAGACAGCGGCGAGAAAATTAAAGAGAGCTTCCACATTGGAGATCTAGATGTTGTTACACAGAAACAAAACACCAACATCAAGTCCCGACATCATCTAAGCTTTCTCCCTCTGCTTCACGCTGAAATAATGAAAGCAAGTGAGGGTCCAAATTCCGAGGAAGTCACCAAAACAGAGTCAGACACCACCACATCTAAGACCAGCAGAGCACAAGTGTCCTATTAAACACATCCAGTGATTAACCAGTCTTCCAGAAAAGCTGCTAAATAAGCACCACTGCACAAAAGCAGTAAGTCTAACCCATTGATTTGAGTTTAACTAACAATGTCCACCATGCATCTGCAAATGAAGGAAATGGAGTCCAACAGACTGTGAGCAGAGTCTCTGTGGTTAGCCCTGGGGCAGGCCCCAATGAGGCAGACTGAAGCATATCTGCTCCACCACAAGCAACTTCCACATGTTCTTTAGCTTGCTCCCAGAGCAGTGAACACCAACCTCTCCCAGGACCCCTGACCATGGGACCGGACGGCCCTGCGCTATTGACAGACTGTCTGCATGAGTGGCCTCAGCTTCGATTAGACATGGACGGGTCTACAGGCCGAGGCAAAAAAAAAATGCAGCCTGTTCTCTACAGTCACAGTCGTTCCGCTGAATAGATACAATGACAGAACCAGCACTGTGTTTGCATTTCTCTGATGGTGTCAGGGCGGGGAGGTGACATCATGGACTCAGGAATGCTACTGTTTACAGGTAAAGCCAAGCCTCTCATCCATCTGGAATTAACTGACTTCAGCATTCAAACATTCAGCATTCAAGCAAGTCAATTACATTCAAACATATTTCATGGTATGCTTTTCAATGAATAATTAAAGCTAGTTTATCCAAGTTTCTACCAGTTAGTTAAAGAGTAAATCAGTGATGGTACATCAATCTCATCAGCCGTCTTCATTTGACAATGTGGCACTCCTCTATCGAGTCATACAGCTGTTGGCTAGGCTGTGCCCTAGTTCTACTCTTGACATGTATGAAGAAAAACTAGGTTAAGGACAGGGATGGCTATAATACTTCCAGAAATAAAAGTCCTTCCTCTGAACATTTTGGCAATCTATGACTCACTCAGACCCAGTGTAAAGCACAAAAGCAATGTCACTTTTTTATGAGTTATATCAGTACTAGAACTTGGCAACGCCACCGTCATGTTCACCGGCCAAAATGTCGACACGTGTTCAGTAAACAATTTGTCAAACTCATCCGATCTTCTCGGCCGAAACTGTGCTCTCTGAGAAATAAAAACACAGCCACCCAGATCCAGCCGATACAGACTTGTTTGACAAAGATTCCCTGAGCATAAAGCCTGCAGGTAAAGGACTCCAGCTGCAACAGGAAACAAGATATTATCTTTTTTTCAAAAGATCTCTGTTAGAGTGCGTCAAGCCTGGAATCTCAAGATCTTTACTTAAGAAAAAAAAAAAAGAAAAAAAAAGATAAACAAATTCTTCAAAAGAATACATACCCGAATCGGTGCAGTAGAGAACTTGATCTTCCTCTGACGACACTGCTCCTCCTCATCAGACAGGCCTGGCACCTCCTCGTACTCCTCTGTGGGCTCGTCCTCCTCATGGTGCTCCTGGTCCGTGTCCCGGTCGTCAACAAAGGCTGCGTTCTCGATCCCGTAAATGACGGGTGACCCTCCCTCCTTTAAGCTGCGGTCAGCCGGCTCCTCCGGCTCGATCTCCTCCTTCCTGTGCTCCCCCAGCTCCCTGCAGTCCACCTTCTGACCAGGTGATTCAGGCAGCACCCGGCTCTCTGCTCCCCACCCTGACCCCGGAAGCTGGCCACCAACTCCAACCTTCTTCTCCTGTGCCACGTGCCTCACCTGCATAGCTGCCAGCTCCCCGCTGGTCTCCACTGTTGAAGGAGGTTTTACAGGTGCCTCACAGGGACTCCCTTTTGAGGAGTCTGTCCTTTGCTCCTTTGGCCGCTCTTCTTTTTGATCCTCAAACACATCATCTTCAATCTCGTCGCTCTCGGATGACTCGTTCTGGACAACCACTAGCTCTGCCCGGACTGTTCCCTGACCGGCTGGATCCACTAAAGAGGCCTGTCCCTGTGGCTTTTGCCTAGTGGGGCTCTGGGCAATGTGCCCATCCAGAGCTTGGTCTGAACGGTCAGATATGGGACTAGAAGCCTTGGCTGCAGTGGGGGATGTTGGTGGACTACAAGGCTTGAACCCAACAGGGGATGCAACAGATTTACAAAAAACATCATTTAGCAGAGGGGGGCTTCTAAGGGGGCTGCCAGCACCGGGGGAGGTCCTCTTCGGAGACCCATCGCTAGATGGGACTGAAGGCAATGAACGCTCAGAGGCATTTTTCATCTTGAGGGGGCTATCTGGTCCCCTACCAGACACCCTGTGGTTTGATTCCTCATTGTCACTGTCCACCATGAAGTTCTCCAGCCTCCTGGAAATAGGTCCCGCATTTAGGGGTGACCTCGTCACCTGCTTCGCTTCCTCCCCACTGTCCTTTTCCTCCGTCATACCTTTGCTCGGTGCCGTGGTGCTCTGCTCCAGTTTATTGCCATCAACATTACCCTCCAAGGAGCCAAAAGACCTCCTAGGACTCTTTGCCTCATCAGACATGCTGCCCAGTGAGGGCCGGCCCACCACCTTGTTTAGGGAATATTTCTCTGTGGGTGGCGGGTCCTTACTGCCTCTCTCAAACAGCTTCCTGGTCACAGAAAACTTCTCAGCCAGAGCAAATTTGTCAATCTCGACATCTTCCCCCTTGGTGGTTTTGTCTGAAGCCAGGGACTCTGGGCTGGCGACACTACCCAGACCCGTTTTCTGTGTGCTACCTGCAAGCTGCAACTTAGGTGGAGAAACCTGGGACATGTCACTTTTTAACGGCACTTTTGCTTCTTGGACTTCCTGCTGCTGCCCATCCATCTGAAGGAATATGTTCTTTATTTTATGGACTCTGTTTCCGAATGATCTCCCCCTGGTGTCTTCGCGAGTTTCGCTAGAGCCATTTGCGTAGGACTTGTTAGCCCTGTCGGGTTTCGCTCCGTCAAAAGAACATTTAATCGCATGAAAGTCCGATTTGTACGCGTTTCTGTGAGGGGAAGCGCTCCTCAGGGATCGGTCGTTTTTACTCTCAGCCTTCATCATTTTCGGAGATGAAAAAGAGCAACTAAGTAAAAGAACAAGTTCAGACTGTTTGGGGAGATGGCAAAAAAACTGGATTCAAATCTCGGTTTCCCGTTCCGTTGTAGTTTGATGCGAAGTCCGTTTCCCTACTTGAGCTCTGCCATGAGCTAGTCCCGGCGCCTTTCCTCAGACTGCGTGCATCTAAAAAGAAAGTACCAAACCAACCACAAAGACAACTTATTATTAACAGTATACAAAAAGACTCTATTTGTTTCTCCTGCCCAGTCAATATGCAGGATCGTGAATGATTTTGAGCGCATACTTCCCAATACGATTCACGTAAGTAAATAAGCGCGTTCTTAACAATTGCTGTAGTTACAATGGGAAATCAAAGTTACTTTCGCAGTTACTATTACAAACTTCATATCACCCAACTGCCTTTTCTCTATATAATCATTTCACCAAGGAACGTTTCCTGAAAACGCCTTAACTGAAATTAGGTGTCCCGCACTACTTAGCTATGGAGCTAGCGAGATGACTATTGTCACAAGAGGAACATCCAGACAGCAAACATACTGTCCGATGTCCGAAACAACTGTAGGAAAAATATCCACTTGCACAATCATGCACAATCGGTGTCCGCAACGATCCCTAAGCTGAAAACAGAACCGTCGTTTTAAAAGATCTTTTGTTTCAAATAAGTCTCTTTAGCGCATCGGACATTTACTTCTGGATAAGTTAATTAAGCCACAAGCAAAGAAAACAACAGTAAAAAGCTGTAGATATTGAAAACATTTAAGCGCTTCACCTCCAACCGCCTGGTTTTGCGTTTTGGTTAAGTGCTCGTCCCTTGAATCACACTCCCAAACTTGTCAGCGCCATCATTCCCCCTTTTCCAACGTTTCCTTTCCCTTCACTCCTTCTCCTTTGCTCTCTTGCTCGCGCTCGCGCTCTCCAAACACACAGACCTGTCCCCCCTCCCTCTGTACGTGCCCGCGACTATCCAGCGCGCTCCAACAAGCGGCCCGCTTCTGGAACGCGCACGGGGGGAGCGCGCTCGCGAGCGCATTCCGTGGCAGGCAGCGCTCCTCGCGGCTGCGCGGGCACAGGGAAAAGCATGGGAATGTCGTGGGAAAGACCTCAGTCTCATCGAGATACTCCCGCCAAATCTCAGAGATGGAAAACTCGAGTCCTAAACGGAACAGGGGTGCATAGTCCATAAATAGCATAAAGTCCCTTTTGTTTGTTTGGATTCGAGTGTGCATCAGTCTATGTTTGAAAGAAATACCTCATTGTTCAGGCAACTGCCTGTGCATGTGGGAAGTGTAAAATTAAATTTATTAATTTATTGCAGCTTGAACAATTGATAGCCTACAATCACACAAAATTCACAGAACCTTTTACTATATATATATTAAAATATATATATATATATATAAAATTCACCACCTCCTCTTTAAGAGGTAGGCCTACTGAACTGTACAGTCTTCAAGGCTACGTAGGCTCAAAACTTTCATTTTTTCAGTCGTCTTCCAGACCTGTGTGTGTCTTTTCATTCAGATGGGGTTCCACTTCCTCTCACTCTGTAACACCAGCCACCAGGCAGTATCTGCTTCCTCCTACTCAGCTATGAGCTGATAGTGGGATATCAGTTGTGTAATGGGGAGGAATTTCTTCCCTTCAGAGGCTCCGAGCTGGACGGGGTCAGACCTTGAACCGTTACGCAGCGGAATGTAGTTCATTTAACCGAGAACTGCAAGTAGGTCACCGTCACAGGTCTCCCTGTGTGTGGGGACGTTGCAGGACGCCTCACCGAGAAAGAGCCTGTTTTTCATTTTAGGTGCAGCGGCGCTCCAGCCAAACTAATACGAGGATGGAAACTTGAATAGGGAATGGGACGATCTACTTCCAGTGACTTCACACAGAGCCAAACATGGATGACTGAGGAGCACGGAGAGCCGAATGGTTCTTATCACTACAATCCCACTCTCACCGTGCAACTTTCTGAACTCAGCGTACGGAGAGGACTGCTCACCACAATGACACAAACTGTGAGTTGTGTACTATGTTTAAGCATCCACAGACTCTGCACATAAACCATGAGTACAGCATGCACTCAGGGTTAAGTGGGCGATTCACTCAGGTTTGTATATACCTCAAGCAAATAAACAGAATATAAATTATCAGTTGTCAGATTTTACAACAACATACAAAATGTTTGACGCTTATGTACTCTTTCATACAATACAGTATATAGATCTTCTGTATATTTTCTTATGTGGGTCAATAGAAGATAATATATAGCAGATGATCGTTTTTAGGTTCCATTAATTGGCTGTGGACTGTTAGTACCTCATGCCTGCAATCTGCTCTCAGCTTCGGGCATCTGACAGTTAATCACCTTACTGAAGAGGACCATCGTCTTGAGACAGGGATGGGTGTTTTTTGAAAATGTTCTGAATAAAACAAAACTCCCCATGGATCCAAGAGATCGCTGTCTCTTACGGTAGCTCAGCTGTGAATTAAAGCATAATTTGACGCAAGGAAGTTACATGACCAACATAATAAAATTTTAGAAAATCGGGACAACTTACCAGGAAGTAATATTTCCGACAGATTGGAGTAAGCGCAAGCATAATGATTAATATCTTCAGTTTCATCCCGAGTGACACCTTCCAAATGCCCAAATAACATGTGACTGGCATTAATAGGTATTATACCTTCTAGTAGACCTATTTGGAATCTCTGATGTCCTTGAGATCAGCTACAGATTCTCCTGGAACAAATTTAGTGGTATCTCCCATGTGGCCTGGGGACCTACATTTCAAAAATATCACCCAATCAAAGAGGTAGCGCACGGGGCTGCTGAATGGGACTGGCTTAGATCAAAGCCCCATGTCCATTCACGCAGCAGGAAGACACTATGAGGCATGTTGGCCCGTGAATCAGTCTGAGGGGTGTGGCCGTGGAGATGGCTTCAGGGGAATCATATCTGCCACTGGCAGCTTTTTTTAAAGGAATTGCAGGGTGTTGGCATTTCTGGCCTGCTGATTCATATAGGGCTGGTTTTTGCTGTAGTATTGGTGCATAAAATGGATTTTTTTTGAGCAAGAGGTTTGTTTCCCCGGGGGAAGCGTGACACAATGTGTAGCGCTGTCATCACATACCTCTCCCTGGATGTGGGTTTGAATCTCATCCCTGCTCTGCGGTTGTTTTTGTAATTATTACATTGTGGCCACCAGAGTTATGCCCATAGAAATGAATGAAGAGTCTTCATAAGGGTATGAATACATGGACTCTGTGTGTGTATTAGGTTTATATTACATTGTGGGGACCAAATGTCTCCCACAAAATAATACAAACCTGTTGTTTTGATGTTGTGGGGACGATCCCCGCAAAGATCTATCAATGCAATCAAAAAAGCAAAAATGCCAAAAGTCTTATGTTTTGTTTGGTTACTTATGGTTCAGGTTAGGCCTGGGTAGGGGTTAAGGTCATCCCCATAGAAATGAATGGAGAGTCCCCACAAAGATATAACTACAAACCTCTGTGTGTGTGTGTGTGTGTGTGTGTGTGTGTGCGTATGCTCCCCTGTGTTGCATGGGTTTCCTCCAGTTGCTCTGGTCCCCCCTCCTCCCATATAGACATGCAGTTAGGCTGACTGACATTAAATTGCCCATAGTATGTGCTATCTACTGAGAGGTATACTTGACTGGTGATATGTGGTATATATTATATATACCTACTGTATATCTACTCCCCCCAAGAAGATGGATTGATGGATCTGTATATACTGTACATATACAGTAAAAGGCAATATAACCTTGAATGTTTACCATTTAGTGTTTTGAAAACAAAAGATATAAATAAAAAAAATCAATGGAATATGTCAGTTACACAACTGCCAAATGCTGAAGGGCGAGTGGCACTGCGGAGCTGAGCCCCAGCATAGCAGACTGGGTGTAAGTACGTTCTGTCCTGTTTAGTATTTCTATAATCATACGGTCTGCTCACACAAAGCTTATTTCAGTGGCAGGTAAACACTCTTGGTGCCTAAAATAACTGCACTTTGTGCATATCCTTTACTTTGTTATTAAAGTTAATGAGATAGGAGTAAAATACCCTTCTTTGGAGTCCTGAAAAGCCTTTGTCCTTTTTAACAATTTTTTTCTTTCACATGTAGCACAAAGGGTGCTGTTGTTGGCACCAGCCTTTTAACTCATCTATGATTTCATTTAAACTAACGTACGCAGTATCATTTTCTATTGTGTGTTCTGTAGCATTTTAGACAACGTGGCAAAATATAAAGTTTGAGAATTTTCCATTTTCTATGTTTTTAAAAATCTGATGACAACTTAAAGTTTTAGCTTTTTTGATTTCTTATAAAATCATTTAATAAAGGAGTGAGTTACAAAGAAACAGATAGGAGTCTGGCACAATGGTAAAGTTGTCACCACGCAACTGTGTTGGGGGCTGAATCCTCCCTCTACTGTGTGAAGCCCCTGTGGGTTTCCTCTTGCAGTCTAAATAAATGCAGTTAGGTTTTCCTATAGCGTGCAAACGTGCATTTATGTGTCCTGTGATAGAATCGCATCCCAAGTAGGTTGTACCTCACCATTGTGCATCCATGAGCCTGCTCATGGTCTTTGGAAGGTACCGTGACTCCATGGCTGTCTTAGAAGTTTTATTCATACAAGGTTAAAGGTTCTAATCCAGCTCTGTGTATGTGGAGTTTGCATGTTCTCTCTGCGTTTCGATAGGTTCCCTCTTGCATGTTCTCTCTGCGTTTCGATAGGTTCCCTCTTGCTCTTGGCAAAGACGTGGTTAGCTAAATTGGCATCTCTAAATTGCGTGTAGTGATGGTGCATTGCGTAGAACTGGAATCCCACACAAAGCACTCTCATGCCTGAATAAATGGCATGCAACATGTCTAAACAGGAGGCTCTTTAGCTCTTTATTTAGATCAACACATTCAGGTGTTTTCTGTAATCTCAGTTACTCCAGGGAGCTGACAACACAGTTTGTTATGAACATGAACAAGATCATCCCTTTAACATAATCTGAACTGTATTTCCTGTGTTGTAAAATAAAGTCAGTTCATAATTCCAGAATGTTATAGCCTCTTTTGTTGTTGAATGATTTTATTTGTGATACTCAGCTTCTTTATTGCATTTGAAAATTGTTCTAAGGATCTAAACGTAAAAACAGCTGGTTTCCAAAGACACTTACTTGAAGAAGCATCTGAGTAATACTGAGAAAGCACAGCTTTTCAGACAGAAGTCCTGGTCCACAGGCATTTCCTGGAGTGTCGCTCTATTCCTGCATTATATATTATTCAAGTGGTTATCTGATGAGTGAGGGTGTCCTGCTCTTCATCGGACCTAACATGCTCCTACAGTTCAATGAAACAATACATAGAGACTTGGCTATACATGTGTCTGTGGGCTCAGCCTGCAACAGCTAAACATACTTCAAAGATCTCAAGTAGAGTCACAATATTTGAAAACTGCAATGAAATGCATGAACTGATTTATGATCTCAGTCCAATTTCTCTTTCTGCCCCAGTTACACTTGTTTCTTACTTTCTGGAAAATACCACAGCTTTCAAGTAAACATTTGGCCATGTAGCAGCAAGATGTCATGTCATTGGTTTAGCAAAGAAAAACAACACTGACAGTTACATAGTTACTCTTAACCAGGCTCCATGCCACATACAGTCTTCCTGCATGTAATGCCATCAGTTCTTGCATGATACCTATGTCTGTGTTTACTGTTGCGACCACGCTGGATAATCCCCTAGCAACCATCGCTCTGAAGGCAATCAGGCAGATACTGGTTAGATTTTTCACCTTAGAGTTCAATAAAGGGCGTTGTCATGCTTACAGTTTCCTTGACGACTGCTGTAACTATTCCCTTCCATTCGGTGTCTTCATAACTGAGGAAAACTAGGGGAGTAAAGTTGTCACATAGCTTGGAAAAAGATAATAATTGTTAAACACCAGCCCAAGAATCTCGTTATTGGACCATGTGGGTTCAGGGCTCATGGTGCAGAGCCGTGATTACTAAGAGGTTAACAGGTTCCAGCTTCAGCCTGGCTTATGGTACATGTGGGACTTTTGGGTGACAGGTGGTGCAGCTGAACTGACGCAAGTTTGCAGCAGGAAACAGCTGTCCTGCTTAAACTGTGACGAAAGCACTTCAAGTCTGCAAGAACGTTACTTTAAATAAAATAAATCACATAATGTCCTATGTGTTGTTTCCCAAGTTCCGTTGATATCAGCTTTATTGCGGTGACACAGATTATTCGAAAGGAAATGCTTCAGTTCAATCCGAAGCTCCGATCCGCCGGCACAGTACGTGTCATTTTTGTTCTCTGACTTTGGCATATCGCATCTGCTCAAACCGAAAGGAACAGCAGCTGTAACAGATTACTCATCAAGTAAATCGAGGCTTCAGAGTAGCCTTCACTGCTCCCACAGCTTGGGAACTACTGCCGCAGCGATGTGACTGCAGACACAAACCCAAAATGCATTCTCTTCCAGTAAGAAAAGCCCATCTCTCTTAAAAGTCAGTTTTAGGTTAAATACACCCGGCCTTTGGTTCTAACACCGTGGCTTTAGCAGGGGAACCGCAGTGCTCTGCTTCCCATGCATTGCGGGGGAACTTGTCCTGGGGGTACTTTTAAAAGGAAGCTTTCATTTTTCAGTCACTCTCATTGTCCACGGGGAATCACCGACACAGTGCATAGCGTTTATTGTTCTTCTGACCCCGGTTGGAATAACTGAAGAAGAGTTCTACCTGTATTCTGTTTATCTCTGTTTATATAAAAGCCCAGCTTACTCTGTCATGTGACACAAAGTAGATACAACACTGAGTTTTACACTGAGTTTAACTACCTCATGAGTGAAACAATTACTTGGTTTTGGGCTACAGCTTCTTTAATGAGTTGTACACAAAATATTTCTTGGATTTCACTGCATCCCATGTTTTTGTTTTTGTTTTAAAACGAGTGTACTTTTATCACTGGGTGCTATGTGATTTGGCTCAAATCTGCAAGAGAAAAACACTATAATCCAAGGATCTTGTTTGTGGAAGAGTACAGCAGGAGATGGAGATGAAAGCATAGAATGTACATCAGAGTTTTTCCCCTCGCAAACCTTTTAACGTTAAAAGCTTTTAACAGATAAAAGACTCCACAACTCAAATATTTGGGAAGTTTCTCAAACTTATAATTGATCAGAGATATTAAATTTATTAAGGCAGATAGCTTGAATGCCTTTTTAGATTTGCAGTGTTGCTATGATATTCTTGCATATATTTTTGTCTGTTTTGCAGCGAATACACTGACCTCAATGTGACACAAATCTCATCACTCATGGTTTTTCATCAGTGACTCACAAGACAGTGATGATTACAGGGTTTGTGTGTGTGTGTTTTTTAAATTACACTTCATACCAAAATAGACGGTTCTACAAGGCTGTATAATTGGTCAACATCCTTTACCTTGACTGAACAAAAAAGTTTGTGTTCTTATAAACCATAACCATTCTGCAATTTATAATTGTGTTTATGTAAAAGAGTGTGACACAGCTTGTTTACAATGCACTTTATTTTTACCGTGAAGTGATTACTATAGGAAGTGCAGTTCACTATTTGAAGTGCACCCATCAAAATGATACTGTCATTAACAAGCCGGAGTCGAAAGCAGCTCGGGTTGATAATTCCTTCTGCATGGACGCCGAAACATTTCTATGCCCACGTCCCAGATTGTGCAACTGCCTGTGTTTACACTACAGAGTTTGTGGTCATTCTTTAGAGGCTCTTTATATGGTTATCAACTGTCTCTTAGAGGAAAATATGTTGACTAATTTTTTTCCTGTTTAAACTGAACTTTTTCCTGTTTACCATCTAAGCGATTGTATCTTGACGACATACTGTACACTACCAATTGGTCTTCACTGATCAAACGCACAATTCCCATCTTTGTTTCCCAATCTGAATCACTTTTACGAAACACAGTGGCTTTTAAAGCTAAAAACATCACAATCAGCTTGAACTCCACTCTTGGTAACAAATTCACATGATAATGAAATGGAACACTTAGACATTTCCCACTGAGCTTGCAGTTAGACACATAAACTGACGAGCAATGTATGCTCATGGATTTTATAGTACTGGCCCAACAAATGTTAAATGTTCCTTTAGAAACTCAGGAAGGTTTTGGATGAATGAAAAAGTTTTGGAATGCCCACCGCGTGATGTGAAGGGAGCCCTTTGATCCCCAATCCGTCATGTCCACACCTCACGCCGGGTTGCCAAAGTTTCCATGAGGTTTGGGTCAGGGTCTCATCCAGCCGATTTACTCCCCACTCACAATGTCAGCTGTATAATGGTCAAACACACATATGGTGTAATTCATCTATTGCTCTTTGGAACAATGAAGGAGAAGCATGACTGGGTATATCAGCATGGGAGTATTCTGTCAGAAAGAAGGGTACAGCCTTGGTACAGTTTTACTCCCCAAGGTACAAGGAACATGAAGAAATATGCCCCCCCCGAATTAGACTAAGAGGTACAATTACATACAGCTACGGTACAATTAGCAGACCCTTGAGGGTACAGCCGCAGTGACAAGTAATTGTACCCTCAAAGGTACAAATTGGTTCTTTTTTTCAGACAGTGTAGCAGTGTAATGTAGGGGTGGGCAATCTTACCCGCAAAGGGCTGGTGTGTGTGCGGGTGTTTGGGGTAACCTTTAGGTCAGCTGTTCAAACCCAGGTGTGAGGACCCTTCAGCCGATCAGTCCTCTAATTAGTAATATAATTAGGGAGTCGCAGTGAACACCTGCATACCCAGTGGCCATTTCTTAATATGATTGCCTACAACCTGGTTTAACACAATTAGAGGTTACATTTTCTGGGCTTGATTCAAACTTCTCTAGAATAATGCTGGAAAAGCAATTGGTTCTGTCTGATTGGGTCATATGTGTAGCACCTGCTTTTTCGTGCTGGTTGGGCAAATATTCACCAGTTACTGGACCATAAGAATGGTGCAAATGCCAGTGAATGAAGGGAAATTATGCCTGTTTGCAGCACAAATAATTCAGTCACATAAGAATGCAGTGAGGCATGCAAAGCAGAACCCCCTCCTTCTAAAGGGATTTGAAAACACGCCAGTGTCCTGCAGTTCCTGTGTTGTAGATAGTTACAGCAGATTCATTATTGTTTTTAATGTCTGGTTTTGTAAAAAAAAAAAAAATCACTGGCAACCCATCCAAGACGTCCCCTGCTTCATCTGGATAAGTGGCTGGAAAATGGATTGATGAAAGAGGCAAGAGACTGAAGAGACTGTAGCCTGTGTAACTGAATAAATGTGTCATCCAATATATTAATTAAACATATCTAATTTGTGGAAACTTGGTTTGAGAAATGATGGTGCTGAGATTGAGATTGAGTCACACAGTCAGTTTAGTGAAAGAAAGCATACTGAAAACAATGAAAAATGCATGAGAAGGTAGCATTTTTACTAATGACATTTACCACAAGTGGAAGACATGACGGACTGTGAAATGAAACCAGTATTTTATCAGTGCCAAAGCATTACATTTTCATGTAGTAAATATATGTGTCATATCTGATTTGAATTTTACTTGTGTGCAATCAGTCATAACCTGTATTTGCAGATTCTGATGCTCAGATAACAAGGCGCCACCTATAGACAGCAAGTGGAACAGCTCAGAGGTCACAGTTCGGAGTCTGGTCAAAGTTTATGAAGTTTTTTACAGTCAGCTAATTGCGTAGTTTGCCCCTCACTCTAAGTGTGAAATATAAGTAATTAACACATTATGTCCTTGCCCACAAAATAAAGTTATTTCAAAAGTAACAAACATAATGGGACATTAAGGACACATGCATAGTCAAACAAGTGATCCAATGAATTTAATGAAATACTAAGCAGAATTTAATAATTATCAGATTTAAACTGATAAAATTCAAAATAAACAAAATAAATGATTGACAAGAAGGGTGTTAATGTATTAAAATAAATGATGTATCAGTCAGTGCACTAATGTGGTACACCTGTAAACACCGTTGCATGATGGGAGGAAGCCACCTTATTTGGACTTTGTGGGAGTGTGTGGGACAGAAGAGCAAACAGAGTGCATGAGCAGAGAATGGATAAGTGACTGACGGTGTTTTCCTTTCCATGGAAACAGGAATCAGGTATGATAGAGCTGACACATCACCAAAAAAACAACATCAAGAATAAAAGCACTCCTTCTGTGGGAACGGGAAGAAAACCACGGTGGGGGGGGGGGTGTACAAAAATGAAAAAAGGTTGTTACACACTTCAGACTTAGGGATTTCCGGCCAGGCAACTGAAAGCAAAACACAGCAGGGGATTTAATCTGCTATGAGGAACCAGGGCAGGTGAAGAGAGGATTCGCCAAAAATCACGGTCATCTGACTCTCTACAGAGCTGTAAGGGGACATCCCCCCCCCATCTCAAGAGGTGCAGAAAATACAAATCCAGACCAAGATTTGTTTCTACCAATCATTTGAGCATAAAGAGTAACAGTGAGAGAGTGCTCACCTGGTTGGTAGAAACAAAATCTTGGTCTGGATTTGTAGTTTCTGCACCTGAACTGGCCAACACTGGAAAAATGAAAGTGAAAAATGAAACCTTACTTTTAATGTATTTTAATGTCGTTTTAGTACAGTAGATGGAGTAAGACATGCTTGGTTATAAACACAATTTTAATAGGCCCACAAACCTGTGTACAGAACATATGAAACGTCCACAACTTCAAAATGGCCTTTGTAGGCTGTTGCCAGGGAAACAGTGATACCCAAGAAAATGCCGACTGTGGCATCATACTGACTCATTAACATTTTCTTTCTAAATACACAGCAAAGAAAATGTGTTGATCCCCACATTTTCTTCACTTTAACATAACATGACATACTTCTGCTTTTTACAACAACATTTTTAGAACACTTGAAATCAAAATGGCTTGTTGTGGTATCCGAGACTGTGATTTTGTGTTCGTTTTGGTTCTTGTTAACACATGACATTGCTGGACTTGGCCCCCAGAACACCTGACAAGTTTTGTTTTCGCCCTGCATGCTACCTTCCTATGGAGCTTATTTCCGCCGATGCACAGAAACAACATATTAGAATATGCTGCATAGCACATCTGTTCCAGGATGGCGCCGTTTACTCCCCCGCCGACAGGAGCGGCTGGAAAGCTCGGCCTGCTGACACAGCAGCAAACACCCCCCGCGTTTGCTCAAAATACCTTCATTCCAAGCGCAACAGGTAGCTAGAAATTGCAGAGGCAGACTCTGTGCCGTGTGGATTTATGGGAAATGTAGTCAGCTAGGGTTACAGCAAAGCTGTAGTGCAGGTGTTAAACAGTTAGGTTCTTGGTTTAGCCCTAAACCGAAACAAGCAGCCCCCAGATAACAAACATAGTTTGATTACTTTTATTGGACTTCCATAAACCATAAAAGATCAATTTTATATCCCACCCCCGCTTTTTCGATAAAGATTAACCACACATGCTGATTTCAATGAGTGATGAGTTGAGTGCTTTCCATAGATAGGTTACAGATTAGCTCTACCTGCTTGTAGCCGTTTTGTGCACTGAGCTGATTCCTCCCTGGTGCTCCCCCCTGCGTGCAAGCCCCATGCCCCCCTCTCAGCCTGTGAACCATGTTAACAGCCCCTCTTAGCTTCCACCCAGCGGGAGTAACTCCCTAATCACCTGGAGCTTTCCGAGGCATAACATTCCGGTGCCTCTCACCTCCCGCACGTTCGAGGTTCATGTCGCCGTAGCGAAAGCTCAACGGCAATCCGCAGTCTACCCCTCCCGCAGCCGTGAGGAGACCCTGCTTCACTCGGGGCAGCCCCTTCCTTCGCCCCCTGAGGTCATGTCAGGTATGATGTCATGGAGTAGCATGGAGGCATCCATCGGGACCGAGAAGAGATCAGCCTCTTTTCATCTGTCACACCTCACGGGAGGCAGATCGCAGATCTTCAGCAAAGCCTTGCAAAAGTGACAGATCTGCTGACGATGTGCCAAGCTCGGACTGGGGTGGTGAGAAGTGTCTCACAGCTTTAATAACATTTCAGCAAAAACATATTTCACTAAGGATTCGCATTTATTAACCTCTATTAGTGATTTCAATATTTATATGCTACTACAACGGAGTGCGAAATGTAATAGCCTCTACATGTCCAAAGCCCAGGTGTTAATTTTGGCGGTTTCTTCATGAAATTTGCTCTGATTTTAAAATCATGTTTATGTTATCTTTGCCTAGACAGAAGCAGTAGTGCCCTTAAGGTTGTATATGGAACATTATAGGCCATCGTTCCCTAAATGTGGAAAACGGTTTTTAAGAACTTATATCATGTGAAATGGGCAAATTGTGGAGAACTCATCATAGGTGTATGTTTCATTAATTGTATGCGCGATTTCCCCGGCAACAGTTAAAGAAACCCAACAAGATGAGGAAATGTCACCATTGTTAATCGTCATTCCCCTAGGTTTCGACACGTTTGCTGGTTGAAACTGGACCAAACGACTCCTTTTTCCTAACGAAACGAGGGGAGAGTCCATGATAAAACAAGGATGATGTAAGTCCGGCTCCAGCTGCACCGGGTCCATGATCTCGCCAAAGATGGTAGCAGCGCACACCTCTGCCCAGTCTTCTGCATCTGCAGAATGGATCATCTGCCTCGATAAAAGGTGAGCAGGAACAGATCTATTCGTTTGCTGAATGTTTCTCTTTTTGACACCTTGCGCTACGCAATAAACGAATACCGTCGAAAGCCTGCCCTGCTCCGTAGCGTCGTTTGCCGGCTTTTTTTCACCTGTGAACATTGTGGGATATTTATTTTCCCGGCGTTTTTCTTTATTATACCAGTTAGACAGAATAAAGGCACGGCGAAATATAGAATCGCTTTGATTTTTGCATGCAGCCAGTAAATACGGTATTATGGAAAGGCAATGCCATCTGCCGTATTGTATTTTTTAAACTAACGAATCTATCCTGACTGCTCGACTACTACAGGAATATGCGTGCGATTAAAAATGTAAATACCTCCTCGCAATAATTTGGCACAAATAGCGGTAAAACAATTCGGTGAGTATAACTGAGAATAAAGCTAATATTACCTGGGGGACCAAGACGTCTTTTGGTGCAGAATAATGAATCAGACTTATTCCCTGACGCTTCACTCTATCCTCATGGTTTTCTATAGTCTCTTTTCCCTAAATTTAACCTTTGCGATTAAATTGACACTTATATTTACAGCTGACAGTCATTAAAATAATCGGTAAAGACGAGTAATAGGCTTTACCTGGACGCCACTATAAACGTTTTCTCCTAACTGAGTTAAAGTAGCACTGTATGTATGCTGACTACTAAAATGTTTTTTCAGCGTTTTTGGTAATAATTTTCAGCCCAGGAGACATTTACTGAATATATCTATCGGAATTGTTACACCTGCTGTGTATTTGTCATTTGACGAGTACACACAGCCGTATACTAACACATTTTGCCGAATAATTTCTTATAATATTTTTTGCTGGGTTAATTTATACAACTCCGAAATCCTACCTGTGACATATGGATGGATGAATAGTTATTAGAGAACCTGCGTTTTACTCAGGAGGTCTTATAAACTTTACCTTACTTGGTTCCTTAAGTAATTTCCGCACCCCCCTCAAAGACAGCCTACAGCAACGTGTGATTCCGGCCCCATCTGGTGTGCTTTCAGTTTATCTTATTTACCATTATTTACCATCCTCCTTTCTTACTCTAAATGTAACGGGTTCCGTTGCTAGTCACGTTACAGACACGGCAGCCTCCGTCAGTCAGACGGCACCATATGGAGCATTGAAACTAATCGCTTTCGGAATCAGAAGTGGTAACAGATTGCCTCATAACGTATTAATGGTACTGAGACGGCAACACATGGTAACCTTTTAATGGGACTCGCAACATGCACGGCAAAGAGGGTAAGCGATAGCTTTCAGGTCTTAAAAACCCCGACCTGACTTTGCGGGCAGCTGCACTGACATGGCGCTTAGCGGCCGGGGGTCGTCACCCAAATCGCCGGCTGCACTGACGGTGTCTGATCCGCTGAAGTACCCCCTTACAAGTACCCCCCAACGAGTTATTTGGCAGAAACCTAGTCTGTAATGAATGAAACTCCAGGAGGAGGCGGTGTAGTGCAGGGATGAGGCGGCGGACCTGTCAGCGCGGTATCTGCGGGGATCGGCTGCACACTGTAGGTGTGAGATGATGGCCGTTTTGTCCCCGACCGCAAAACTGCCATCGCTGTTTTGCTGAGCGTGGTGTGATGATAAGCAGCATACCCAGGATGAGTTTCTAGCCACAAGTTAGATGGAGGTAGCTCATACCCCATCCTCTTTGCCCCAGACCTCCATCCCCACATCAGTGTATGCCAGGCCCCATCCTCCATGTTCCTAGCATGTATCTGTAGAGCAGGTCTCCCCAGTATCCCAGTTCCAGTCCTGGTTGGGGAGAATCCAACACAGTTTGCAGATTTCCCTGCTCAAACACATCTTAATCCACTGAATACCAGGTTTAGTAGGTGTGTTTGAGCTGGGAAATCTGAGTAAATGTCAGCAGCTAGTAGATATGGATCTGCTTCCCGTGGCTGAAACAACTGTCTTCAGGGCCTAAGCAAAATTTGATTAACCTACTTGTCATGTGTCATCTTCTATCCCTTTCTGACAGGCTGATAGGATGTGGGGGGGTGTGGGGGGGGGGCTGGTCGAGGGCTGGTGGCTGCTGGGCCCTAAGCAGCCCCCTTGGGTGCGGCCTGTACCCCACCTGCAGACAAACACGCTGTGCCTGCTAAGCTGTGTTGTGTAATCAGCCTTCCCCGGTCGCGTTACCCAGCCTTCCTCTCTACGGCGGCACGACGCGGACGCCGTTGATTTCCTGCGCCGAGGCGGTCGCTGTGTTTGCTGACGGTGGAAATGGTTCCCGTTTAGCGTTTGTTTGCTTTGGCGGGTAAAATGGTTTTAATGCACAGATCAACTGTGCTAGTCCTCTGTGCAGCTTGGTTTATGTGGGTCTCAGTGTATAGAGCTGTGCTGTTTTGGGGGCCGCTGCTCTGAGCTGATGTCCGTCCTTCGGCCTGACGTGACACAGGCCCCACTGTGGCTGACTCTTCCTTACAAAGCTCTGCCCGGTGGCACCTAAGTCCGTCTCGCTGCTCACCAACACGGTGACCTCAGCCCTCCGCTGCCCGGCAACGTGGGCACGGCAGCCTCACTCAGACTGACCTGGCGGGCCAATCAGAGGAGGTTACAGCTCCATGACAAACAGGAACCCTGAGATGGCTCCTTTTCCGCTGTGCACTCGGGTGTTACCAAAAGCTAACCATTAGGGTACATGTTTCAGGATGAAAACAGATCTTTTGGAGCTCTTTTGCTTTTCCTCTTTATCTTCACAGTAATTATTTGATTATTTCAAAATGGAATGACATGGTGTCTATGGTGCTGGTTGCACTGGCGATGAGGCCTGACCACCGGCACTGCATCACACGGTCTTCAAAGGGCTTTTTTGTTTATAGTTCAGACACAGCGTCTGAGGGAGATATTTGTACCAGTGATGGTCACTCAGTAAGAAAACGAAAATCCAGATGGGTTCATGTTCATATGATTGTACGACAACTCGTGGGAGTTTTGCTTACGCTAAAACATACTGAAGGCAGAACGAAAAATTATTGATTCAGAGAGACAGCCAATCAGACTATAGAGGAGGTGGGTCTAAGCAACTAGAGGAGGTAGTACCAAGACATCTGATTGGCTGGTCCTGCCTCCTCTAGTTGCTTGGACCCACCTCTTCTATAATGAGATTGGTAATCTCTCTGAACCAATCATTTTATGTTCTGTCCTCAGAACAGTTTTGTGTAAAACTCCCATAAGCTGTAAGACAGAGTTAAGAGTTTATTTAATGTAATGGATGCTCATACTGTTGCTCAGGCTGTTCCTATGTAATTCGCCAGAAAGGTATTTCTTTTTGTGTTTTGTGTGTGAGAGAATGTGTCTGATTGATGGGTCCGTTCCTTTAGGCCCTCGGAACGTTCTGGCGAAGACGTGGACATCATACTGACCCGCCTGAAGGATGTCAAGGCCTTCGAGAGGTTCCACCCCAACCTCCTGCAGCAGATATGCCTGTGTGGATTCTACGAGTGTCTGGAAAGGGGCATCACCTGTAGGTCATGCTGCTTAATGACCCGCATTCTGAGACCAGCCTTCTTAGCTCAGACTTTTGGTTAATGACCAGTGACCAATAAGATAAATGTCAAGCAGAAGGTTTGCAGAGTGTTTTGATAGCGCAACGCTAGCTAGCTAAATGTAAGGCTAACATCTCCGTGCTATTCTCCTGGCTTCTGAACCCCGGCAGTAGTAGCGTAAACAGAAGCTATCCTGTTTTCCAGTGTACCGCCAGGGAGACATCGGTACGAGCTGGTACGCCGTCCTCTCCGGCTCGCTGGACGTCAAGGTCTCCGAAACAGCCAACCATCAGGTAAAAAGAAAAGCATGACTGGAGGAAGCTGAGATATCGGAAGTATTACTGTGAGGTGTTAATGGTGGTGGTCATCCGAAGAGCAGAAGGTCACCATTCCCACAGTCATTCTGAGCTACCATCCACCCTGTCTCCCGATTCATTTTCAGAAACACCTTGTAATTCAGCGTTTCCCAACCCGGTTCCCGGGGACCCCAAACGGTGCAGGTTTCTGCTCCAGGAACTGGGAGAGAGCAAAAATGTGAACTGTCCCTATGGACTGGGTTAGGAAACCCTACTGTACTCCATTATAAAGGCCTTACTGTTTGCTTGTACTGGGTTCTTGGTCGTCTTCCTGTCACCATAAAATGCTCCTGCAGTATAAATTAGCCTCTATACAGACTCAACACCGATTCTCTACCCAGATTAATAAATTTGCTATTAAAGTACATGTAATCATAGTTGCATATTACAGCGACACTCTCAACAATCTGCCACTCCGTTTTCGCACTCTTATTAAATGTCGTGGTTTATAAGAAAATACATGTACAAATAAAAACAGGCATACAAACTCATCACAGAGGGGAGACTGATTTATGTGATTCATTGATGATGGTGGTGATGATGATGGTGGTGATGATGATGATGATGATGATGGTGTGAGGCGTACCTCCTCATGCATGGACAGATGTGCATTTGCAGCCTGGATCTCTCCGTCCCTCAGAAATGTGTTTTCGGAGCCATGGGGACCCTTCATCTTCTTTTCCCACTCCCCTCTCCACACCCTCCATCTCTGTGAACGGCCCCTGAGTGATTGGAGAGGCACTTATCCCCCCCCCCGCATTTCAGGAAGCTGACTTGATTGGAGAACCTCTTCATCTTTTCGTCTACTATGTGTGATGAAACATTGTGTGAGGTTGCAGGTTTGCTGGGATGCTGCAGCGGTCGTCATGGTGATCTCCATATGGAGACCTTTGTGTCTTGTTGCCTCCCTTACTACCGTGGCACACAAGGGGTTAACCAGTGACTCTGTCCCCATGCCCCCTGTGTCACATCCAAGGATGCTGTCACCATCTGCACCCTGGGAATCGGCACAGCTTTCGGGGAGTCCATCCTGGATAACACCCCCAGACACGCCACCATCGTCACCCGCGAGGTCTGTGAACTGCTGCGCATCGAGCAGAGGGAGTTTAAGACCCTGTGGGAGGTAAGTGCTCCTGGGGCTCAGACCCATCCTGGTTCTCCAGGAAGCAGAGCCTGGGGAATCCCCCACGTGTGACGTAAATGGTGTGTCTCTGACAAACCACGGCTCTCCAGTCAATACAAACCTGCTGCTCTTTGGGGGTGTGGCTTATGGGGCAGTAATGTTAACAACAGGCCTTTTCTCTGTCATCGATCTGTTTCGTGTTAACTCAGGCTCTTTGAAGCCATCGATAGCGGAGAGAGTTTTAGCATAAAACTTTGAGGAAGGATAGGATGTTGGATGTAGGCTAGAGGAAGCACGATTACATCATTCTGCCCAGTCACTGAGAGATTAACGGTTATTAGAATTATTATTATTATTATTCAATTTATTGTATATGATGGACTGGCATTCCATCGAGGGAGTTTCCTGCCTGCTCTCCATTCTTCTTGGTATGGGGTTCAGGCTCCCCATAACCCTGTATGGATAAGGCTCTATGGATGGATGGATGGATGGATGGATGGGAAGGCTGATGTTTGGACGCTCTGAACACTATCTAATGCGACAGACCAGTGTCACCTGCCATAACTTGCATCACTGCTGCTACGCTTACAGCTTTACATTGATGGAGCTCAATGCATTTAGAAGAAGCAGGATTTACGAAGGTGAGCGTGGTGTGGTTTGGAAAGAGACTTGCGCAGTTCACAGCTGTAACATCTGTTACTTTAGCTGTCAGAGCACCAGAGTTTGCCAGCATTTACTTTTGAAGATAAAGAGTCAGGATTGGCAGATTAACAGTGCATTTTTAGCCAAACAGATTATGTATATTAATCAACCATGAATGTTGCTGATCCGACAGCAAGGAAGGCCTGAGCTGTCAGTCTGACACACAGCATCTGTCTCAAGGGAATCTAAATACTATTTAGGCATTTAAAGATTTCTCAGTAACTAAAATTAAAATGTATGTCTCATTTAACACCACAAGGTGGCAGTGTTTCCACAAATATTCTCAGCATTTCTGGAAAAAAAAAAGTAATTTTGATTTTTGTTTTGTCTTGGCCCATGTGATGCGTCTTACTCATGTCAGGGCTATTTTAAGTTGAGGAATGTGATCTGATTGCGCTTTTCGCCCTGAGACTCAAATTACACAGGAATAGAGGTGTTAGTTCACCCCAAAGTACAACAGGAACTGAATTTTAACTAGTAATGACTTGTAATGTTCATTTGTGATCCTTGGCTATCTAACCTTAGGTTTCTGCTCCTATACTCAAACATTCAGACCCTGTCTGCCAGCCGCACTCACACCTAGATGGAGGCGTGTGGGATTAGACAAATCAGGGTGTGAATAACAAGCTAAGAGTAGGAGATGTGCGTAATAAGGACGGGCTGAAATATCCATTCTATAGATATTAAATGTTGCCAGTTTAAGAATCAGTTCTAACATTAAAGCATTTTTTTTACTGGTAAATTAAATATATTATTATACAAGTGAGTAGGGAACTGGAACGATTAGTGACACGTCACGCTCCCCCCCACCCCACCCCCTCATCAGCACCCTGCCCTCCCACCTTCCCCCCCGTTACTCCCCATTGGGCCGGCACCGAATATCGTTATCCGCATCAGCCATACCAACCTTGGTATTGGGTCAAATCTAAATGAAAAAACGTCAGTGGTATGGACCATCTCTAGTGGGTACTGCTGTAGAACACAGAGCCTCAAGATGACAGCCAGGAAGCCCCAAACTGAGTGTGTTCGGTTTGTCCCAGACTCCTGCTGCCACTAGGGGGCACTGCAGTGCATCCCTACACTACTGAAAGTCAGTGGGCTGGGGTGGAGTGAGGACAATGGGAAAGTGTGGCCTGGAGCAGGGATTCACATCCTTTCACAGTGCCCCCCCCCTCCAAGAGAAGCATAGCTCACCATCCATGTCCTGTGAGGGAGCAGGAGGCACAGATGTCAGCCATGTCCCCCCCCCCCCGCGGTTTGGGTGTCTGATATGCTGACCATGCACTCAGAATGGCACGGTATATAGTGCCATACCTTTCTGTGCCTCGTTTCTGGGTCCAGAGACTGAACCAGTAGATTTCGACACAGCGATTGCAACCCAACAGAGACCTCCTGTAATGAGGATGTTTTCTTACAAGCAATCTCAATGGGAAAAAATTGCTAATTATATTGAAATATAATTGCAGTAACTGTTCAACCAAATAGTTTAATATTAGTTTAAATACTTGCGGCCATAGGTGGAAATTAGCGGGAGAACATTTGAAACTGGATCTGAGAAAGCACATCTTTACACAGCATGTCATTAGAGTATGGAATAGTCTTCCTGTTAGTGTAGTGCAAGCTGAAACCCTGGGTTCCTTTAAATCAGAGATAGATAAGATTTTAACAGTTTTAGTTGAGTTCTCCCCAAACAAGCTTGATGGGCCGAATGGCCTCCTCTCCTTTGTACATTTCTTATGTTCTCATGCTTTTTACCGGGCAGCATGCTGTGCCCTGATCCTTCCTGCGTGTGTCCTTCGACGGGCCGGTGGTCCTTCCTGGGTGTGTCCT